CATCCCTGCATGCTTGGGCTACATGAATGATCTTTCTAGTATGTAAAATTCAGTTGACTAGTATTTTGTTCATTCTGAAGCATGCTCTTTAGTCGACCAAATGATTGTGTGTTTTCTGGTGTTTCTTGACTTGCTGGTTTCCAGCTTCATTCCTGGGTGATCTGAAAAGGCACCAAAAAAACAAAAACAAAAACAAAAAAAACAACAAAAAAAACCCTCTTTTTGAAGTGCTGAGGGTTATTTTATAGCCTTTTATGTGGACTATGCTGGAAAAACTTCCATGCACTGATGAAAAGAGTATTTTCTGTGTTTGTAAGATAAACTGTTCTGTAGATATTGATTGAATTAATTGGATCTATGGTGTAAGTTATCTCTATTGTTTGAGTTTCTGTCTGGTCAGTCTATCCGTTAACGATAGTAGTGTTGAGAACCCCCATCATTAGTGTATTTGAACAGTTGTCTCCTTTTAAATTCATTAATAATTGTTTTACAAGTGCCAAGTGTCCTGGCATTGGGTGCATATACATTTACAATAGGCATTTCTTCTTGTTTAATGTGTCCCTTGATCATTGTTGTGTCCTTACTAATTTCTTTTAATGCTTTTTGTGTTAAAGTCTAAATTATCCATTATTAGAGTGCTACAGCTGCTCATTTTTTCCTTTCAGTGGCCTGGGATATTCTTTTCCATCCTTTCACTTTCAGTCTATGTGTATCTTTGTCAGTGAGAGATATATTTCTTGTAGGCAGCAGATAGATTGATCTTGTTTTTTGACCCAGTTCACTAGTCTATCCTTTGCTTGGAGAGTTTTGACCACTTGCCTTCAGGGTTAGTATTAGAAGTTAGCCATTAGTCCTATCATTTTAACATAGATTTTTGCATTGTTTTACAATTCTTTTGCAGTTTTACTGAGATGCTCTCTACTTGTCTTCCTTAGTTAAGGTGGATGTCATTGTCATTTTCTATATGTAGCACAGCTTAAAGCATCATTTATTTATATGGCTGGTTGGTTAAAGGCCTATTCTTTCAATATCTGTTTTGGAAGGCCTTTATTTCTTTCTTATAAGAATGAAAGCTTTCTTGGGTTTGCGATTTCTTTGTTTTGAGACCTGGATTCTATCCCTCCATTTTCTCTGGCCTGTTGGATTTCTGTTGAAAGACCAGCTGGGAGTCAGATTGGAGATCCTCTCTGAGTTGTTGTTTCTAATGCACATTTAAGTATTTCACTGTAGAAAACTTGATATTTTTTACATCAAGTTGAGAGGATCATTTCTGGCTATGTCTGTTTGTGATTCTCTGCACTTCCTGTGTTTGGATACCCCTTTCTCCATATTATCATTTCATTGAATACACCTCCAAATCCAGTCTCTTTCCACATCTCCAGGAACTCCTAGGACATGTATATTTAGTCATTTGATGGGATCTTTTAATTTGTGAAGTATTTTTGTTTTAGTTTTACTTAATTCATTAGTTTTTTTTATCTAAGCTTTTTTTTTTTTCAAGAATTGCCTTCTAGATAAGAGATTCTTCTGCCTCACTTATTCTGTTAAGGCTTTCATTATATTTCTTATTTTTGATATTGAAATTGAATTCTTCATTTCTAATTTAGTTTGTGTTTATTTTGGTTTTCTTATTTTTGTGTGAGAGAGCATTCACTTCTTATGGATTTTCTTAATTCCTGCATCTGTTTCTCATTGTTTTTGAAAAGGTTTATAGTTTTTAAAATTACTTTTCTGGCATTTTCTCAATATCTTTATCTTCCTATTTCATGAGTGAAATAAGTTTTTGCTACTTTGGGGATGTTATGTTTACTTTCTTTTCCCTACTGTTTGTGTATCTTCTTTTACCTTGGACATCACAATACAGGTTAGTGGGTATTCTTAGGTTCATTTTATTTTTGAGCTACGTTGCTGTGATTCTAAGAGTAACTCATCCTTTAGAAGGGATATGGTGGTGGGTGCTTAGCGGGAACCTTGCAGTCGGGTTGGTTCTCTGAATGGTTCAAGTGCATGGGCGCCTATGTCCGTGTTGGAGACTCAGATGCAGTTCCTGACTCTGACTTCAATCTAACCCAGTCCGAGCCATTGCAGTTATCTGAGGAATGAGCCAGTGAATAAAAGATCTGTGTGTCTTCTTCAGTCTCTCTGTAACTACCTTTTTAAAGAATCTGTAAATATAAAAGGAATTCCCTAAAAGTGCCTTGTAACCTCTTCCTCTTGAAAATTTCATAATTCTTTATATTGTATTTTTGAGTGGGTGTAATGTGTTTTGGTGAAGATCTTCTCTGGTTATGTCTGCATGAGGTCATGTGGATCTCCTGGGATGTCCATTATTTCCTGCAAATTTGGGAAAAAATTTTAAGCTGGCTCCTAGTTTTGGTTTGGCCCTGCTCCAACTTCTGCAGCCACTTGGCAGTGAACCAGTGGCTGCATGATGTCTGTTTGTCCTCTCTTTGTAACTTTGCCTTTCAAATAAAAAAAAATCTTAAAGAATTTTCATTGTACAGATCTTCCTCATCATTAATTAGTTTCTAATATATTTTATGTGAATGTATGAGATAATTAATTTCCCTTGTTTTTCATTTTTTGAAAAACTACTAATTTGAAAGCCAGAGTTGGGCCCAGCAGCGTGGCCAAGCAGCTAAAGTCCTCACCTTAAACATGCCGGGATCCCATATGGGCGCCAGTTCTAATCCCGGCACTTTCGCTTCCCATCCAGCTCCCCACTGTGGCCTGGAAAAGCATTCAAGGATGGCCCAATGCTTTGGGATCCTGCACCTGTGTGGGAGACCTGGAGGAGGTTCCTGGCTCCTGGCTTTGGATCGGCGCAGCACCAACTGTCACACTCACTTGTGGAGTGAATCATCAAATGGAAAATCTTCCTCTCTTTCCTCCTTTCTATATATCTGCCTTTGTAATAAAAATAAATAAATCTTAAAAAAAAATTACAGAGAGGGCGAAAAAACCCACAAAGAGAGATTTTCCAAATACTTGTTCACTCTCCAGATAGGTGCATTGGCCAGACCCAGGCCAGGTTGAGTGAAAAAGCAAAGAATCAAGAGTCTCATCTGGATCTACCACATCAATTCAGAGTCCCAAGAACTTGGGCTATCCTCCATTGTTTTCCTAGGCCACTAGCAAGGGACTGTATTGGAAATGGAATAGCCAGAATCTGAATCTGTGCTCATATGGGATTGTCGCATCATAGGTGGTGGCTTTCTTATTTGCTGTGCTGTAGTACTTGTCCTATACATATAGCCTACAGTTGATAAAAGTTAATTTGTTCTTTTTTTCTTCATTTCTTTCTTTTTTGCTGCTTAACAAGCACAGCTGAGTGATGTGATGAGTATTGGCTTTTTATCCTGTGGCTTTACTAAATTTGTGCTAGTAGCTTTTAGTGGAGTCCTCAGGTTTTCTGTAAATTTATCTAGACAAGTGAGACAGTTGCATTTATTTAAATACATTCTTATTTCTTATATAATTGCTTAACTGAATGATGAGTGGAAGTAATGAGAGTAGTTATCTTTGCCTTGTTCCTAATCTTGCTGGAAAAGCTTTGATACTTTACCGTGGAATATGATAGTAGTTGTGGGCTTGTCACCTATGACCTTGATAGTTTTGAGGGACATTCCTTCTATATCTAATTTTAAAATTATTGTCATGAAAATTGTTGAATTTTTTCAAATTCATTTTCTGCTTTTGTTGAAACAATTGTATGTGTTTTACTTGTCAATGTTCTGAAGCAGATAAGATAGACAGCAGACTTTTAAATTGTGGTGTGGAGAGGTTGGGTTTTTAGATGTGTGTTTTGGTTCCTTCTATCCTCAGGATTAATCTAAGAGCAGGCATTTATTTCCTGCTGTCTTAGCACTAAGCCTGTACTTTGATTCATTCAGACTATACCTTCCTGGTGAAGGGGGCCAGGTGGAGGGACTGCTTGACTTTGTTTTCTGTGGTTCAGGGAGAGCAAAGAATGCAAAGCTCCATCAACATTAGAAGTGATTAAGTAAATATCCCTTTGCTTAGAACTACAAAAGTTGTGTCATTCCGTGTGTGGACAGACTTTTCAGGGAAGTTTTTTGGGACTGGAGCTATCACTGCAGTCAGCTACAGAAGGCCTGAGGAGTGCCTACCTCTCACCAGGCTGCTGAAGGTCTGTTGTTGCACCCAGTAACTGTTGTGCAAGAGAGTTCGAAGCCAGCATGTTAAAGAACCACTCAAGAATGTGTAGAAAAATCCCTTCAAGAGAGAATCTGGGTTGTGTGCAGTTTTAGCTGTTTCTCTGTACTGCCCCCCATGAGTGGAGTCACTGGAAATGCTTACACCTTTGGCTCAAGGGGTTAAGCCCCTGCTTGTGATGGGGTTTGAGTTGTGGCTCCGCTACTAATTTTAGCTTTCTGCTAATGTGTACCCTGAGAGGTAGCAGGTATTGGCTCCAGTAGTTGAGTCCATGCCACCCATGTGGGAGATGCAAGTTAAGTTTCTGGCTCCTGGTTTCAACCTGGTCCATCCCTGGCTGCTGTCAGCATTTAGGAAGGAAGCCAACAAATGGGAGATCTCTGTCTTTGTTTTTCAAATAAACGAAAGGGGAAAATCTACCATTTTGATCTGTGGTCTACAGAGATGCATATGCCTAATCCCTTTTACTCCTAGAGCTAGAGCTGGCATACTATTTGTACAGTCCAAACATTGTCTCAACCAGATGCCTAGTCTTGGGTTTCCTCCACAATTGTAGAGTTTAGTGCTTAGTGTGGAATATACCATATATGTTTCAGCTTTTCCTGCCATTTTGATGTAGGCTTTTGTTTCAGTTTTATGGTATGTTGACTTGTTTCTGACTTTGCCCTGGGGAATTGATTTGTGTGTTGGTAGTTATTTGCATTTGTTAGTGGAGGATTTTACTGATATCACTCCTCTAATTATTCTTATTAAGGTGAAATGGGTGAGATTGCCATAATGCAAGTCATATTGTGTAATATTTTTGTATTGGAATCTTTGTCTAGAGGCCAAATGGAAGCTCCAAGCTGTTCAGAAGACTCGACCAGCCAGAGAGTCATTACTCCTGTCCAGAACGAAGTAGTAAACTCAGGAAAAACAGATGTTTTATGGAAGAACTGTGAGTTTCTGGTCAATCGAATGTGTCATCTGGAAAGCCTCATCCAGTCCTTGAAGCTGAACATTTTTCGTATACAAACTGAAAAGGATTTAAATCCACAGAAAACAGGTACAGAGAGTACAGAATCATCATAAAGTTGGTTCTGTGGTACTGCTTCCTGAGCTTATGATTCTTTTTATTTCCTGACTACTTCCTCCCCACCCCCATCACTTGACACCGTTACTGTGTTGTCTGGCAGCTTTTCTGAAGGATCGATTAAATATAATACAGGAGGAGCATTCCAAAGACCTGAAGCTGTTGCATCTTGAAGTGATGAATTTGCGCCAGCAACTGAGAAGTGTGAAAGAAGAAGAAGACAAGGCACAAGATGAAGTACAGAGGTTGACTGCCACTCTGGAGATTGCCTCGGAAACAAAGGTTTGAGTCTAGAGTTCTGAAGTACAAACCCACTTGCTAGGTATTATTCAGCAGTTGTCAGATTGGGAAAAAACTGACTCTTGAAATGAGGTTATGTTGATGTGAGCAGTTTTGGAATTTGATATATATCTGTGTTAATAACCTATACTGCTGGATGCTATTAGAAGATTGCTTGGCCTGTATAAAGGATAAGGTTGCAGAGATATGAAATAGATCCCGGGCTCTCCAAGAGTTGATATGCTGAGAAATCAGGCTGTAGTTTGAGAAAAGAGGGGTGGGGGAAAGTAAGAGTATAGGAAATGTTGTAGGCTAATAAGAGAGTATTGCAGAGTAAGGGCTTTGTGTTCAGATGTATTTTGTGAGGGTGAGGATGCCAGCCAGTACAGATTTCATAGGCTTCAGTACATGTAAAAACAGATGAACTGACCTTTGAAAGGTGCAGTAGAGGGCTAAAAAAATTTTCAAGGAGGAGCCACAGAAGTGGCAAAGAAAGAATACGGGCTACTATAAAAGGAACTAACAATGTGGTTCTCCTTCTGTCAGCAAAACAGTGTATCAGGTGATTAAAGTAGGTTTCAAAAAATATCATTTGTTTTGAAGAAAGAGCCAGACAGACAAAATCTTCCATCTTCTGGTTCACTCCCCAAGGTCCAACGAGGGTTGGACAAGGCCAAAGCCAGGAGTTTGGAACTCAGGGTCTCCTACATGGATAGCAGATGCTCAAGTGCTTTCACCATCACCTGCTGCCTCCCAGGGTGTGCATTAACAGAAAGGTGGAATCAGCAGACTATCCAGAGCTCATACTAAGTGATTTTTTTAGTCTTTGTACCAAATGCTGAGCCACAAAGGGCTACTTTGCTTAATGATTGCAAAACCTATTAGGATATTATTGCCTCTATTTTTTAATTTATTTTTATTGAAAAGGCAAATTTACAGAGAAAAGGAGATACAGAAAGATCTTCTATCTGCTGGTTCACTTCGCAAGTGGCCACAAAAGCAGGAGCTGAGACAATCCAGATCCAGGAGCCAGGAGCTTCTTTAAGATCTCCCACATAGGATGCAGGACGGGCCATACTCTCCTGCTTTCCCAGGGGGGCTGGATGGTAAGTGAAGCAGCCAGGACATGAACTGATGCCCATGTGGGATCCTAGTGCATGCAAAGCAAGGATTTTGTCACTAGGTCATTGTGCTGGGCCCCTATTTTTAACAATAAAAGTACTGGGGCCAAAGAGAAAGTACTTCTCCTAGGTCACACTTGCCTGTCTTCTTCTATAACCAGGTTTGAACCTTGATATTTTCAGTAGGCATATTTGGAGCGAAAAGAAGACAAAAACAGCTCTAAGGTTTACATCTGGAATTATACCATTAATAATAAAAAATGTATTTTTCATCCTCAATCATGAATAATGAATGAAGGTAGCAGAAAAAAATAAAGTTCTTAGAAACATAGAAATGTACAAATAGTATAGGAACTATGTCTAATCCGTTACCAACTTGTCCTCTAGTTACTGCCTTATTTGGAAGCTGGTTGTGATTAATTACTGCACTATCTAAAACAAGTGATAGAAATCATGAATAAATGTAACACCTTTCTTTTAAATAAGTCAATGCAATAATTCTGTCAAACTCACTGTATGGATAACCTTATTAAAAACAGCATAAGTTCCCAGGGAAAAAAACCCAGATCTGAACTCATATGCCCATAGATAATATTTTCCTGTCATTTCAGATTATTTAGAACCTTTTCTCCTTCTACTTTTAGAAGAATGCAGCCATTATTGAAGAGGAACTAAAGACCACAAAACGTAAAATGAACTTTAAAATTCAAGAGGTAAGACCAAAAGGTGCTGGGAGATAAAGGAAGTATTAAAATTGTCGAGAGAAACTTTAATGGAGAATGAAAAACTTTGGGAAAATAAAATATGACTATACTAGGAAGACTTGAGACTGTGACATGTATGATTGAAATGATAGTGCTTGCCTTTATATGACACTTACCTGAAACTTCCCTTTGCTTCAATGCTGCTATAAAAATAGAAATAAAAATTAAAATCCTGTCTGAATCATGAAGGAAATGACTACCCTATGCTCTTGCTTGTATTCATGTGCTTACCTGTACTTCAGTTTCACACAAAGGCCTTTTCATCAGAAGCTGTGCTTTAAGGGACTGGCATAGTGATCAAGGCTGTGGCTAGGGTTCTCATATCCCATATTGGAGTGCCTGAGTTCGCAGCTTCTGCACCTGTTTCTGGCTTCATGCTAATATGGACCCTGGGAGGCAGTGATGATGGTTCAAGTGGTTGGGCCCCTACCTCTCCGGTAAGGGTACCTAAATTGAGTTTCAGTCTCCCAGCTTTGACCCACTAGCCCAACCTAAGGCCAGTGTGGGCATTTGGAGACTGAATTAGCGGATTGTAGTACATGCTATCTCTTCCTCTATGAAAAATAATTTTTAAAAAGGATTGGTTAAGTCTCCTAATATGATTGTACCTTAAAGCCTCACTTCCACCTAAGTTTTGCTAAAAGCCATTGGGCTAGAAATTTGCAGCTGGAAACTGGGCCAATCAAAAGAATTACTCAGTGTGTGCTTACCATGACGTAAAAATCTCAATATGCTTTGGCAGCATAGTAATAGACATTACTGCAAAATCAAAAGGATCAAATTGAATTTAAAATTGAGAAATGAACATGTTTTTAATGAAAACTATTACACCAACTGTTTTTAAAAATTGGTAAGCATAGCTACCTGGAAAATTCTGTTATGTGTAATGCTGTTTTTGTGAACAACTGCTGATAAAATCATGGTTGTTCATAGTAAGAATGTATGGTGCTTTAAAAAAAACTATTTTTAGAGCAGGTTTTACTTTACAGAAAAATTGCAGAAAACAGAATTACCTTATACCCACTCCACTCTCCCCATAATTTCTCTTATTACTAACATTTTGCATTAATGTACTTTTTTAACATCTAATGAGCCAATATTGATACATAATTTAAGTCCACAGGTTATACTAGGACTTACTCTTGTGCTGTGCCATCTTAAGGGTTTTTATATAAGCATCATGCCACATATCCAGCATTGCATAGGATCTACTGGAATAGCTTCTGTGCTTTAACAGTGCCTTGAACTCTGATTCTTATCCCTCCCTCCCTCTTGCCCTCATCCCTGACAACCACTGATCTTTTCATTGTCTTTGTTTTTTGTACTGAATGTATATTTTCAATTGTCTATATATTTGAGAATCAGAGACAGATCTCTCATCTGCAAGCTCACTTCCCAAACAGCTGACACTTCTGGAGATGGGCCCAAGGCGGGAACTCAATCCATGTCTCCCACATAACAGAATCCAACTACCTGGCCCTCTGGCTCCCGGGGTCCACATTACCAAGAATGTGGAGTCTGATGGTAGGGCTGGGTTTGATTCCAGTGCTTAAACAGAGATGTGGGCATCTAAAACACTAGACTAAATGCCAGCATCCTCACATATATTTCAAGTTCATGTGTTTTCATGACTTGATACCATGTATTTTGTTGCTAAATGAATTCGCATGGTATATGCAATAGTTTGTCTCTTCACTAAGAAGGGCATCTTGATTATGACTTTTGGCAGTTGTGAAGAAAGCTGTTAAGAATGTTCTGGCAGTTTTTTGTGTGGGCATATATTTTCAAATTGTAGGGAAAAAAAGACTAGAATTCCAATTGTTGGATCATACATCAAGCCAATTTTTAGCTTTGCAAGAAACTGCCAACCTGTTTTAGAAAATGACTGTGCAATTTTGCATTCCCGTCACAAGTTGTAAGAGTTCTTGTATATCCTCACCAACATGTGGTGTTTTCAGTGTTTTGAATTTTTGCTGTTCTAATGAGAGAAACCCACATAATCTAGATTTTCTCCTAAGTTGCCTTTCAGAAGTTTATAAAAACTATAAAATTCTGCATTTTTCATGCTCTTTGATCCACTTTGAGTTATTTTAACAAATGGTGGAATATTTTTCAAAATGTTCAGAGAAAATGGAAAATTTTTATGGATTTTTTTGCACAAAAATAGCTTTAAGTTGCGTTTTCCATGAACTTTAAAAAATAACCTCAGCGATGTAGTGATATGTTATTTAGTTTGCAGTTCAATAATGATGAATGACATTGATTATCTTTTTAAGACTTACTTTACTTGAAAGAAAGAGAAAAGGAAGTTACTGAAAGAGAGAAAGGGAGAAGGAGAGACTTTTCCATCCTTTGGTTCACTTCCCAAATGGCTGCAAGGATCAGAGCTGAGCCAGTCCAAGACTGGAAGCCAGGAGTATTTCTGGGCTTTCCAAGTAGGAGCATGGGCCCACGGATCTTGGCCATCCTCCACTGCTTTCCCTGGCCATCAGCAGAGAGCTGAATCGGAAGTGGAGCAGCCAGGACATGAACCTGATGTCATATGATATGCTGGTGCTGCAGGTGCAGAATTAGTCTTATACACAATTTTATTGGCCCCTGAGGATCTTTGCAAGTGCTTATCACCCTATGTGTATCTTGTGGTGCACTCTTAGATCTTTCGCTGTTTTATAGCTGGGTTGTTCAGTTTCATGCTGTTGAGTTTTAAGTATTCTTAATATATTTTGATTCTAGTAGTCCTTTATCAAATATGTGTTCTACACATTACAGATATTTTCTCCCATTCTGTGGCTTATCTTTTCATTGTCTTAACAGTATCTTTTGAAAATCAGAAGCTTTTAATTTTTATTTATGTGTTTGAAAAAGTGATGGAAAAATCAGTGTTCTTTCTGTTGGTTCATTCGTCATATGGCTGTGGCAGCTGGTGTTGAGCCAGGCCATAACTAGGAACGTGGAACTCCATCCTGGTCTGCCGTGTGGGTGGTAGGAGTGCAAATATTTGGGCCATCATCCACTGTCTTTCTAGATGTGTTAGAAGGAATTTGAACTGTCAATCGGTTACAGGCTGCAGACATAACAAGCGGTAGCTTAGCACGAATTTCAGTAAAGTCTGCTTTTTTTTCATGAATTATAATATTAATGTTAAAGGTGAAAACTCAACAAACTCAAGTAGCCTTATTTTTTTTTGTTAATTTTTGTTAATTTTATACTTACGTCTTTGAATGTTTCGAGTTAATTTTTATAAAAGGTGAGGAATTTTTGTGGGACTTTTTTGCATGTTGATTTCTAGTTCTAGTATTGTTTTAAAACACTATTTTTGTCATTGAACTACCATTCAGCATTATTTTTTGGGGGAAAATCTTGTTATTTAAATATTTCTTTATTGGAAAGGACAAAAAAGAGAAGAGGGGGAAAGATACTCTGTCCACTGGTTCCTGAACCATATGGCTGTGACAGTTTGAGCTACTCTGGGTCAATGTTGGCAGCTCAGAGCTCCATGTGGGTCTCCCAGATGGGATAGCTGCAGCCTAAGTACTTGGGACAGTTTGTGCTGCTCTCCCAGGTTCATTAGTAGCAAGCTGGATTGGAAGTGGAATAGCAGGGACTGCAGCAGTGAGTCCAGTATGGGATGTTGATGGTGCAGACAGTAGGTGTAGGTCACTGCACCACCATGCTGGCCCCTTTTTTCATAATTCTTTTTACGTGATATCTTGGGTTTTTACTGAGGCCTGTCAAGGTGCTGCAGATAGACTATATTTTTCAAGTGAACATTTGAGGGAATATGCAGCAAAAAGGATATTAATTGCTGAGCTGTTGTAACAAAGTCCTACATAGTGAGTGGCTTCAATGGAAATTTCTCAATATTCTGGATGCTAGGAAGTTCAGAATCCAAATGTTGGCAAATTGGAATTCTCCAGAGCGCTCTCCCCTTGGTCTGCTTGCAGAGGGTTGCCTTTCTGGTGTGTCCCCACATGTCTTTGCTCTGTGTATATGCATCTTTGTTGTCTCGGTAGAATGTCTTCTTAGAAGTATACCACGAACCAGATTGGATCAGGGCCTATCCAAATGGCCTCACTTGTACCTAAATAACCTTTTTGAGGTAAAGTGCTAAGTTTTAGGCTCCATGTAAGAATTTTAGGAGAACCCAATTAAGTTTGTAACAGAATTATACGTATAGTAGATATGGCAAGTAATTTCCTAAGAGATAAGAAATCTATACACTGACATATAAATTCTGATACATAATATATCAGAATGCATGTTTTTATATATCACACTAAATATGTCAGATTAGGAACAGATAAATCCAAAACAGATCAGTTACCCTGAATGCTTCAGAGATGACCATCTTATTGATAATGATTATCAAAAATTTCCTTTGGAAGTACTTTTGTACATTATATGTGTACCATTTATGAAAGAAACAATTGCTTCTTTATAAATATTAGCTAAATACTTTCAAACCCAAATAACCAAAATGGTAAAAACAGTTCAAAAGAGTGACAAATCTAATTCTAATTGACCTATAGATTAATTCACATTGGACAGTTGCAACTAAAATACAGATTAAGGGATTTCATGAGAAAGAACTCTGGAACTTCATAAACACAGTAATCTTAAACACATATTTTCATGCTGGGCTTAGAAAAGCATATAAAGCTACTGTATTTGATAGGATGATTATAATCTTAGATCTTGAAAAAAATACAAAAAATGAGAAATACGGTTTATTCTCTCACAATGCTTAGGGTATTTATGTTTGAACAGGAATAAAAGTATTAAAATTCAGATTTGACCACATAAAAATTTAAAACCTCTGTATGTAAAAATAATACTGAGTATCATAGAGAATTAGACAAAAGTCATTAATTTTTCCTTCATAAGGAACTTAGCTACACTTTTAAAAATAAAGGGAAAATGGTAATTACTGACAATTCTTTAAATACATTTATAAAAGGAGTCGACACAGTGATTCAGCTGGCTAATTCTCTGCCTGTAATCATTGGCATCCCATATGAGCAACTGGTTATTGTCCTGGCTGCTCCACTTTCAACCTAGCTCTCTGCTTATAGCCTGGGAAGGCAGTGGAAGATTGCCTGTAGCCTTGGGACCCTGCACCTGTGTGGGAGACCCGGAAGACATTTCAGGCTTTACATCTGCTTAGCTGCCACCATTGCAGTCATTTGGAAAGGGAACAGCGGATGGAAGATATTTCTGTCTCCCTTCTTTCTGTAAATCTTATTTTCCAATAAAAATAAATTTTTTGCTAAAGCAGTCTTTATAAACACTGTATTAGAAGATATTTGATTTCACTAATGACTAAAGGAATACAAAAAGTTATTTTTCATTTATTAAACTAGAAAGAGCTTAATACAGCATGATGCTGGTAAGAATTCTTCAGATACTTCTGATAGGATGAATACTGAAAGAAAAGTTGCAGTATGTATCAAAAGCTAAAAAATATATAATCTTTCATTTTATAGTAATATCTTTGAGGAGGCAGTTCTTTTATTCAAAAGCAGGATAGTAGAGATTGGCATAACAAGTTATTCCTCCTCTTATACTGCCAGCATCCTACATGGGCACCAGTTCCAGTCTTTGCTTCTGCACTCTGATCCATCTCCCTGCTAATGACCTGGAAAAGCAACTAAGGATGGCTCAAATCGTTGGGCCCCTGCACCCACATGGGAGACCTGGAAGAAGCTTCTGGTTTCTGATATGCTCAGCTTTGGAAAAAAAAAGAACAAGAAGCTCTACAAACCCTGTCCTTTTATGTTTTTTTGAATTGCTCATCACTTCGGCATGGTTGATTATATCATTGGCCGTTGGTGATCAGCTTAACTGCCAACCTGTGTCCCTTTCCTGGAGACTGGGAAACTGACAGTACCAGTCTTTTGATCACACCTTCTGCACCTGGGAACAGACTCTCATGTGTGGATTCCCAGCCCCTAGTACTCTAATTAGCATCTGAACATACTCTTAGGCGATCTGGGGATTTTAGTAACTACTTGCCAGGAACCAGGGATGGACATCAAACATATTTCTTATAATAACATGGTCCTTATATTCCTGAGAACATGTTTTATCACCTAATTACCAGTTATTTGTTTAAAGCTTTAAAACAGTTGAAAATCTTTTATGCTACAGTATCATAAAAATATTAAAACCACGAAATAAAAATAGGAAAGTAAGGTTGAAAAATAAAATTATATAATAAAAATTAAAATGTGATACAGGTGTTTTCATACTTGCTTTGCAGCAATCTGTTGTAAGACATATATTTTGCTCCGTCGTAAATATACACCAATATTTCATGAAGCAATACTTCGAGACCTTGCCACTTGCTATTATTTTCTTTGAATCCCATATTGTTTTTTTTAAAAGATTTATTTTTTATTATTTTTTTATTGGAAAGGCGGATATACAGAGAGGAGAGACAGAGAGGAAGATCTTCCATCCGAAGATTCACTCCCCAAGTGAGCTCAATGGCCGATGCTATGCCAATCCGAAGCCAGGAGGCTCTTCCGGGTCTCCCACGCGGGTGCAGGGTCCCAAAGCTTTGGGCCGTCCTCGACTGCTTTCCTGGGCCACAGGCAGGGAGCTGGAAGGGAAGCGGGGCTGCCGGGATAGAACCGGCGCCCATATGGGATCCCGGGCATGCAGAGGCGAGGACCTTAACCACTGCGCCACTGTGCCGGGCCCTAATCCCATATTGTTTTTCTAAGTGTTGCTTGCACATCCACTTTGGAAGTGACTTGAATGCAAGAAATTTGACTACATTTTATCTATCGGGGAGAATCACAATCATGTTTTATAAACTTGGTAGGACACTGGATCTTTATTAAACTTGTATGATCTTTAGCTGGTTTTGCCTAATCACAATGTTTCTCTGTAGCTAAGACGACAACTGGCTCAGGAGAAACACCTCAGGGAATCTCTAGAGAAATCTGGATCAGCCATGCTTCTCAAAATACAAGAAATGGGATCAACTGTGGAGGTGGAACGGAAACAGGTAGAAAGATTTCCTGTCCCAATTAAACCCTCAGAAGAAAAACTGATGCTTCATCTGTAGATTTATAATTTCCTCTATATTTACTATTTTATAATAACCTGTTCTAAGTATGTCTTCAATTTTCTTAAAATTTGTGGAAATAAGAACTAATGCCATTTGATCTAAGGGAGCTAAGGATCAGAGAGGTTCATTTTCCTCAGGTTTTTAAAGGTGAACTCTTAGTTCCCAGTATCATTCCCCAGCGGATGGAGAACATCCAGCCCAGGGACCACAGAAGGTCGCAGAACCGTCTCATCCAGCTTTGTCAAGGCAACCACAGGCAGGACTCAATTCAGCAAGTCTTGAGCAGGCTAGTTTTTAAATTGATCACTGTGTATGACTGTAAATGATATCAGTTTCCCTGCCCTGTACCAACTAACCTGTACTGTAGCACTGGTTTTGAAACCATTGCCTTGTTTTGTTCTGCATATTTTTAGAAAATAGAATTAAAGAGCTAGCATTTGAAAAAAGGAGTATCAGTAAGTTAATCATAAATAAGTTTGTACTATTGATCATTATTTTTGCGTTTATCATGGTTTTAATTTGAACAACCTGTATAAGGCAATTAGTTTCATTAATTTTAGTAACTGAATTGGATTACTTGACATAATTTTAACTAATGATTATCCTTAACAATATATAGAGGATCCAACCTATGAAATTTGTGAATGATCCCTTATTACTGTCTCTTATACTGCCAAAATATTAGCCATGATACATATAGCTTCTTAAATTAGTTTGAGTCTGTTTTTCCACTCACTCTCGTCACATCTCAAGTGGTTAGTAGCCACTTGTGCCCAGTGGCCATTATGTTGGAGAGTACACAGAAATATCTGATCAATAAAACTAACATAAGCATTCTGTTGATATTTTAAGTGTTACATTTTCCTCTTAGTTTTATTAAGACTGAAAATTGTGCCTATGAATGTCCTAAAAGTTAGTTTATTAAAAATCAATCTTACAGAAAAAATTTTCCTGTACAATTTCAGGTGCACATTTTGCAGCAAAACTGTATTGCCCTGCGCGGCTCCATACAGAACACCCAAGAACTACTGGTACAGGAGCAGCAAAAGAAAGGACAGTTGGAGTCTGCTACTTCGCAACTCAAGTTTGATATAAGTATGAAAAAAGATGCTAGGAATCACACTTGGTTAGTTTTTTGAGATTATGTATTAACTCTCTTTAAGTTCTCAAATCCCTCCATTTAACACATCAATTACTGCAGCAACTGCTAAAGAACCCTCCCTGCCTTCACAATCCAGTACCAGCCCAAAAATGCTTGTCTCTCACTGGTGTACAGTCCCTCAAGAAAGTCGTCAGCTGCATGTTGAGTTACATGTGACCTCATTTACGATTGCCAGTAACTGCAGGCTGGCTTCTTGATAATTCTGGAACTTAGTTTCAATCCATAAACATAGGATAGAAACATGTGAACCCTCCTTATTGCCACAGGTAGACTAAAAAGTCAAGCTTTCTCAGGGAAATCAATGCCAGGGATTTCAGTGTAGTAACTATTTTCATAGTTACGTGGACCTTTTGTTTTTAGTTTCCAGAGATGACCTCATTTCGAAGTTGGCTGAAGAAAATAAGGTAAGCTTTTAGGTTTGTAAAATACACAGGGGTCTGGCTACTAAATTGTGTTTCCTTGATCTTGATTTACTGTTGGATTTTTCCTAAAAACTTGATTTTAAAAAGTTTTGGTTAAATGAAAAACGAATGTGACCACATCAAACTAAAAAGCTTCTGTATATCAAAGAAAACAGCAAAGTAAAAAAGCAACCAGTGGAATGGGAGAAAATCTTTGCACACTACACAACTGATAGGAAACTACTATCCAGAATTTACAAAGAGCTTCAGAAACTCAATGGCAGCAAAACAACCCTGTGAAGAAATGGGTGATGGAAATGAACAGACATTTTTCAAGAACAAATTCAAATGGCTAGTAGACGTATGAAAAAATGCCCAGGCTCCTTAGCTGTCAGAGAAATACAAGTGCAAGCTACATTGAGGTTCCACCTAACTCCACTAAGACTGACCTACGTTCAGAACTCTAGTAGCAACACCTGCTGGCATGGATGTAAGGAGAAATCTACCCTCTTTAACTGTAGGGGGTGTAGGCTGCTAGTAGAACCACTATGGAAATCAGCATGGAGAGTGCGGAGTGATCCAGCTGTCCCACTTCTGGGAATATATTCAAAGCAAATGAGATCTGCATATGAGAAAGGGATTTGTGGTACTACCTTTACAGCTGTACAGTCTAATAGCAAAGACATGAAAAAAAAAAGCAGATATCCATCTAAAGAGGAGTAAAGAAACTGAACTTTTTAAAAGCCTTCTCAATTTATGGATGTTTATAATGTCCATAAAAATTTTTTTTAAATATTTATTTATTTATTGGAAAGTCAGATATACAGAGAGGAGGAGAGACAGATAGGAAGATCTTCCATCCGAAGATTCACTCCCCAAGTGAGTGCAATGGCTGGTGCTGTGCCGATCCAAAGCCAGGAGCCAAGAACTTTCTTCCAGGTCTCCTACACGGGAACAGGGTCCCAAGGCTTTGGGCTGTCCTCGACTGCTTTCCCAGGCCACAAGCAGAGAGCTGGATGGGAAGTGGAGCTGCCGGGATCAGAACCGGCGCCCATATGGGATCCCGGGGCGTTCAAGGCAAGGACTTTAGCCGCTAGGCCACACTGCCAGGCCCCATAAAATTTTTTTTTAAATCAGTTGTAGATTCAGGATATTAATGGCTATTAAGAACTAAGAAATGATTTCATACAGATCATTATAGTTTGAAAAAGGCAATTATACAAAAAAGCTCTATTTATGTGTTTGCATAAAATATATAATTTGTATTTATAAAGCTGAAAGCCATGCAGTTTTCTTATAATGTATATTATCCATAAACATTTTGAAGGCCTTTTTTATATCTTAAAAGAACAATCATCTTGTATTATGTGTCATCTGGATTCCATTTGGAATAATATTTCTTGATGCTGTCTCAATTCTATGTTGCATGTTTATTTTTCTTGAGTTGTGTTTTCTGAAAAATAGAAAAGTAGTTCTCTCCGAAGGAACACATTTGTATTTTGTCCTTCCCAGTTATCTTAAGGTGTACTTAGGAGAAAAAGGCCAAGCCATGACCCACATCTCTGGCACCTTCCTTCTCAGCGACAGTTGACTTTTCCCGCTTTTGAAAATAAAGAAGGAAACTTTCTGCTGACCCACCTCCAGGAACTTATTCATGAAAGTAGAGTCACTTCAAGCTGCAAAAATCCTTGAATGTGTTACTTTAAAACCAGGTGATCTAACAGCTAATAGGAAAAATGTGTATGCAATACAAGACAAAAGATACTTAAACTTATAATTTTCTTAAAATAATAATACTAGGTAAATGTTCAGGGTATGATTTTAGGCAGATGTTCCTAAGTTGGAATCCCAATATGAGACCAGATTTAATAAAGCACTTTTTTTAAAAACATAAGCTGCTTATTTTTCAGAGCAGTTTTAAGTTCACAGCAAGGTTGAACTGACAGTACCAAGACTTCCTGAATATAACCTACACTGTAGATGTATGGCCTCCCCGTTATCTGCATCCCCCACTACAGTGTTACATCATTTAGTTGATGAATCTACACTGGCACAGTAATATCACCATAGTTTCTCTATGGAATCACATTTTTATTCTAATTTTTAATTGATTTTTTGACAGAATCAATATGATTGTTTTTTGTTTATTTTAAAGATTTATTTTTGTTGGAAAGTCGGATATACAGCGAGGAGGAGAAACAGAGAGGAAGAACTTAAGTCTGTTGATTCACTCCCCAAACAGGCACAATGGCTAGAGCTGTGCCATCCAAAGCCAGGAGCCTCCTCTGAATTTCCCACACAGTCACAGGGTCCCAAGGCTTTGGGCCATCCTCGACTGCTTTCCCAGGCCACAAGCAGGAAACTGGGTGGGAAGTGGAGATGCCAGGATTAGATCCAGCACCTGTGTGGGACCCCAGTGTGTGCAAGCCACTAGGCTACTGCACTGGGCCCAGAATCAGTGTGATTTGTAGATACAAGTCTAACAACATGATATTCACTTAGTGATCACTTTTTGTGCTGTACATTCTATGGATTTGTACAAATGTGTAATTACCTGTGTCTACTATTTTCATTTCATACTCTATAGTTCGCCCTAAAATGCTCTTTGCTCCATCTGTTCATTTCTCTTTTCAACCAACCCTCTTTGCCCCGACCCATTGCCATCACTAATCTTTTAATTGCCTCCATTGATTTGCATTTTCCATTATAATATAGTCAAATCATGTATGTAGACTCTTCAAACTAATTTTAAGTTTGTTTTTTTTTAAATCTGAGAAGCAGGTTGACAGAGAAGGTCTTCCACCTTCCTCTCCCTAATGGCCACAATGGCCAGAGCTGATCTGATCTGAAACCAGGAGCTCCTTCTGTGTCTCCCAGGTGGGTGCAGGGGCACAAGGACTCGAGCCATCCTTTGCTACTTTCCACATCACAGGCAGGGAGCTGGATCAGAGGTGGAGCAGCTGGGACTCAAACTGGTGCCCATATGGGTACTGTTGCTGCAGGATGAGGATTATTGTGATAAGCCACTGTGCTGGTACCCAGACCAATTTCTCTTACTGAATAAGAACATTTAAGTTTCCTTCACATCTTTTCATCAATTTGTAGCTCATTTATATTTTAAATAGTATTTATCTGAATGCACCACTTCAGTTTATACATTAAGCTGTAGAAGGATTATCTTGATTGATTCTGAATTTAGAAATTATGGGAGAATCAAGATGGCAGAATAGGGTAAGGACACATTTAAACGGATGGAAAAACATTTAATGAGGATGAAGCAGAGAGGACATATTTCAGGAAATAGAAGAGGACAGAACAACAGCAGAGGGGTACCTGGAGACTGACAGACACAGGAAAGCAGTGGACACAATGGTGTTGTGTTGCAGTGACTGGTACTCCAACTCCGACTAACAGTGATCTGAACTCCACCAGCAACCAGGTGGAAAGGGACTTTCACTGGGAGCCTGGGAGGTGAACTCAAAGAACTGTCCATCCTGTTGGTCTGTTTGATTTTACCAGGAACAGAGACAGAGCAGCAGATCCCAGAGGGGCAGTGCGACAGCAGGGTGGATTTCACAGCCCAGTCAGCCCCCTAGAGCCAAATTGGCTGCCATTTTGCGTAAGAAGGCAAAGGCAAGGGAAAGGACAGAGCGTGCTCTGAGCTGGGAGTGAATTCATTTCTGACTCAGTGAACTGCAGCAAAGTGGGTAGCCCTCAGACCTGATGGCCAGTAGATCAAGAACTGTAGTAGTGGTACTCCAGGCACCATTTTGTACACTGTGGCAATAGCTTTAGGACTATAGGAGACAACCGTGACCTGCGCATGTGCTGAGCTTGCGAGAACTCGCTGAGTTCTGTGGATTCCACTGGTTCTGCAGGAAAATAATACCAACTATGGCATCACATTGGTCAAAATAGGTCCGTGTGGCACCCAGACCTAATGTCCAACAGGTTCTGAGAAGATCAGCACCACCAACAATCTAATTATATACGACACCTGGTATCTCTCAAATCCTGAGACCTGCTCCAACAGGAAGTGGGAAAAAGGCTGCAGAGACAATGGTGGAGCCTCAGCACAGTATCACAGGAGGTGGAGATTGGTGAACCAGGAGCTGGGGCTACAGAGACCATGGTGGAAATCTTACGTAAGAACCCAGACCTGGAGCTCGCTGGAGTTGTGGTACAAGTGGCTGCAAGCAAGAAGTTGTGCACTAACTGCAATAAGTAAAATCGCATTGTAGACCTGTGGATGACAGAGCTTAGAAACCTGCCCCAAGGAGAAGACTGCTAACCACAAGTAAAATGAGAAGAGCAAAAGAAGTGACAGAGGAATAATGAATATTACCTAAGATTCCTCTGCAAAAGAGCAAAACCCTTTGCCAACCTCAGAGTTAACTGAGGAAGACATCGAGAAAATGAGGGACACAGAATCCATACGACTCATTTTAAAGCTCCTGATCAACAATGAGAAGCAAATATAAGAGTTCGAAGAATTTAAGGAAGCAATAAGCCAAATGAAAGCTGATATATCAGAAATTAAGAACACAGTAGAGCAAATTAAAAGCACAGTGGAGAGTCTCCAAAATAGAATGAAGCAAGTAGAAGAAAGAATCTCAGAATTGGAAGGTATTTCCTGTCATCAGAGAGAAGCAAACAAAAAGCTGGAAGCAGAGCTGGATCAGGCCAAAAAAAAAAAAAATCAAGAATTGAAAGACACTATTAAGAGGCCAAATATAAGAGCTATTGGAGTCCCAGAAGGTGCAGAAAGAGAAGCTGAGTTTACAAATGTATTTAATGAAATAATTAAGGAAAATTTCCCTGAATTTTGGCAATTATGAATCAAACAGCTATAAACATGTGCATAGGTTTTTATGTGGACCTAATTGTTCTGCTATTTGGGGTAAACACTAGGGAATGTGATTTCTAGGGTTTTTGATAAGAATGTATGTAGTTTGCTAGGAACGTTCCCAGTTGCTTCCACAGAAATTATGCCATTTTACAGTTACACCAGCAGTGAACGAGAGCTCCTTTTGCTCCACATCCTTGTCAGCATTCAGTGTTACTGTTCTGGTTTTGGCCATTCTGCTTAATAATGGTTTGTTAATAAACAATTTTGATAGGTAATTTATAAGTGATTACATTGAAATAAAGTAGGAGACACTAAGGTTTTGAGCAGTTTTTCAGAAGATACTTGCGTATAATTGGCACTTATACTGGTGCTGGCAAAACTACAGAAAAATTATGTTTACAAAGATGAATGTTTGAAATAGGGAGTATACTTTTGTTTTTTTACCCCTACAGAATTTGCAGATGTCTTTAAACAAAGAACAGGAAGAAAATGCAAATTTGAGGTCTGAAATCATAACTCTTCAGGAACAATCAGAGAAGACACAGGTATATCTTTACCAATAATTTTTAGATTTTAGCTTTATTCTGTTAAAGAATCAAGATAAGTCTGGATCATATCAATTCATTCTATAGATTTTCCATCATTTTATTTGTATAAGATGAATTTTAGCTATGAAGCATTGATAAGGTGACTCCATTCCTCATTTCATCCTTCACACCCTGTAATGCCTAAGAATACAAGGCACACTATTACAGTTGCCTTTGCTGCCTTTCTAATCTACTCAAGAAATAGGCACTTTTTGCCCACCGCAAGCAGAATGATGGATTTACGGGAAATTCAATGGCAAAGGTCTTAGAGTTTCCTTTGTGTCTCCCATTGCCCATAGCACATTTTGATACTTAATAAATTCTTTCTGCATTCTAAAATTAGATATAACCATTTTCTATGTGATGGTAATTTCCCAGGCTAATTTTTTTTGCTGATATATTAAAAGTCAGCAAATAGGCAAAGTAGCATTATTTATCACAGGGTTTCATGAAATGTTTATCTTCTAATATAATTTGGTACATTTTGATTAGATCAACATTAAAATTTTACCATTATGCTGACTAATGCTAAATAAAATGCAAATGTCAGTTCTTCTACAAAATAGTTCCTACTACTCTTCCTATACTAACAATAGTTAAGGTTTTTAATGAGCCCATTCCACGTTCCAGGCACTATTCTCAGCACTTACAGTAGTAGCAGATGGCAATTCTCACAATAACTCTATGAAATGGAAAGTTTGCACATTGTTAAGGAAGTTGATAAAAAGGTTTAATAATACATATAAGTGGCAAAGATAGTTTGAGCTCAAGAATTAAGCTCCAAAAAATGAGGTTTTAAATTTTTTATTCAAATGCAAATTTAGAAAGGAGAGACAGAAAGTGAGAGAGATCCTCCTTCTGCTGGTTCACTCCTAAATGGCTGCAATGGCCAGAGCTTGGATTACCCAAAGCCAGGAGCCTGGAGTTTGCACCATGTGGCTGCAGGGGCACAAGGACTTGAGCCGTCCTGGTTGCTTTCCCAGGTATTAGTAGGGAGCAGGATCAGAAGAGGGACATGAAGAAACACCTGTGTTAGATGCTAGCACTGAAAGCTAAAGCTTAGCTTACTATGCCATGATGTTGGCTCCTCACTGCTTCTTTCTAAAGGGGCAAGGATTCTCTTAGTTTGTATGTCTGGTTAGGAATTCACATGGCTCTGAAGGTCTTCTTAACCACCTTAGCATACACACTGCTTATAATACTTACCAGATACTCTCATCTGTTTTTCTATCTTATTTTATGCTTCTGTCCTATTTCTTCTTTGGAGTTTTGTCTTACATAATTTGTTTATTAAAATGTAAGATTCTTGCCAAATGTGTCTTACAAAAATAACTGAAATATTTTTATATGTAAGCTCTAAAATATCAAGACAAGAAAATTACTAATGGACATATGATAGATCTTAGGAATAAGGTTTCTGTTTTAAACTGAGAGATTGATGGCAAAATTCCTATTTTACCTTTGTACATTTTATAGTTGGTGGTGAAGAAGCTTAGACATTTTGTATTACCATTTAAGTAATCTTAAAATTTCATATAATTAAGATATTTTATTTCTGAAATGATAGCCTGCCCTTTACATTGCAAATTACATTTTGGACATATCTTACTCTAGTTGAGAAATGTATAAAGAAGATCAAATAAGAACAAATGCCTTGTTGCTTCACCAAGTCAAAAATACATATATATCTAAATAGGGACCATCAAGATTGGGGAATCGGGTAAAGACACATTTAAACAGACAGATTAGCCAATATGAAGCAAAGAGGGAACATTCCAGGAAATAGAAGAGGACAGAACAACAGAAGAGGGGTACCTGAAGACTGACAGACACAGGAAAGCAGTGGACACAACGGTGTGGAGTTGCAATAACTGATACCCCAACATCATTCAGTAAATGGTGATCTGAACTTCACCTGCAGCCAAAACTCTGAGAGCTCTGGAGATGAACCCAGACAAAGAATTGCCTGTCCTACTGGTCTGTTTGATTTGATAAGGAACAGAGACAGAGCAGCAGGTTCCATAAGGGCGGTGGAGGAACAGAGTGAATTTCATAACCCAGTCTGCCCCATCGAGGTGAATTAGGCACCATTTTGTTTAAGGAGGCAAGGGCAGTGGGGCAGGATTGCGCATTCACTGAGCTGGGAATGAACTCATTTCAGGTTCAGCAAACTGCAAAAACATGGCATCTGCAGGTTCTACCCAAGATATGTCCAGGTAGCCCTCACACCTGATAGCCAGCAGATCAAGAACACTAGTAGTGGCACATCAGGCGCCATTTTGTACATGTGGCAAAGAATTTAAGACTGCAGGGGACAACAGTGAGCTGTGCATGCGCTGAGCCTGGAGTACTGAACTCCGTGGATTGCACTGGTCCCACAGGAAACTAATACTGACTGTGGCATTATACGGGTCAAAATAGGTCCATGTGGCCCTCAGACCTAACAACCAACAGGTTCTGGCAAGATTACCACAACCAACAACCTAGCTATAGAGGACAACTGGTGTCTCCCTAATCCTGGGACCTGCTCCAACCAAAAGTGGGACAAAGGTTGTATGGACAATGGTGCAGCCTAAGCACGGTATCACAGAGATGGAAACTGGTGAGCCAGGGGCTGGGGCTACAGAGACCATGGCAGAAGTCTAAGAACCCAGACCTGGAACTCACTGGAAGAAGTGGCACAACTGACTGCCACAAAGAGCCGTGTGCCAACCACAGTAAGTAAAATCGAACTGTAGACCTGTGGGTAACAGAGCTTAGAAACCTGCCCTAAGGAGAAGAATCTGATAACCAGAAGTACAATGAGAAGAACAAAAGAAGAGACAGAGAAATAATGAATATTACTGAAGATTCCTCTGTAAAGGAACAAAACCCTTTGCCAACATCAGAGTTCACTGAGGAAAAGACACTGAGAAAATGAGGGATACAGAACTCAAAACACTTGTTATAAAACTTTGTAACAATGAGAAGCATTTAAAGTAGGTATTCAAGGAATATGTCACACTGGAAAAGAATCAAATGAAAGCTGATATATCAGAAATGAATAATATAGTAGAGCAAATTAAAAGTACAGTGGAAAGTCTCCAAAATAGAATGATGGAGGCAGAAGAAAGAATCTCAGAACTGGAAGAAATTTCCTGTCATCAGAGAGAAGCAAACAAAAAGCTGGAAGCAGAGCTGGATCAGGCCAAAAAAAGAATTTAAGAATTGAAAGACACTATTAAGAGGCCAAATGTAAGAGTTATAGGAGTTGCAGAAGGTGCAGAAAGAAAAGCTTGTTTTAAAAATGTATTTAATGAAATAATAAGGAAAATTTCCCTAATCTAGAGAAAGAATTGGGAAACAACATCCAGGAGGGGCACAGAACTCATAACAAGGTTGACCAAAAATGATCTTCACCACGACACATGATCATCAAGCTCTGTTCAATGTAACATATGGAAAAGGTCCTTAAATGTGCATATGAAAAAAATCAACTGACAGGGCCCGGCACAGTGGCGCAAGTGGTTAAAGGTCCTCGCCTTGCATGCCCGGGATCCCATATGGGCGCCGGTTCTAATCCCGGCAGCCCCGCTTCCCTTCCAGCTCCCTGCTTGTGGCCTGGGAAAGCAGTCGAGGACGGCCCAAAGCTTTGGGAACCTGCACCCGCGTGGGAGACCCGGAAGAGGCTCCTGGCTTCGGATCGGCATAGTATCGGCCCGTTGCGCTCACTTGGGGAGTGAATCTTCGGATGGAAGATCTTCCTCTCTGTCTCTCCTCTCTGTATATCCGCCTTTCCAATGAAAAAATAATAAAAATAAATCTTAAAAAAAAAATCAACTGACATATTAAGGAATGCCAATTAACCTGACAGGAGACTTCTCACAAACTCTACAGGCAAGAAGAGAATGGAGTGACATATTCCAGATTCTAAAAGAAAAAAATTGTCGGCCTAGGAAAACATACCCAGCAAAGCTTTCTTTTGTCCTCAAAATGAAATAAAATTCTTTCACAGTAAAGAAAAGTTGAAAGAATTTGCCTCTTCCAAACCTGCCCTACTAATGATACTTCAAGATGTTCTTTTGACAGAGAAAAGGAATAGTGCCCACCAAAACCAAAGGCAAGTGTGGAAGAACATCCCAGTAAAATGACAACAGAAGACTAAACCAATGAACAACCTATTGCTAAAATGACAGAACTAAATTACCACCCATTCATATATTAACCCTTAATGTGAATGGCTTAAATTCATCAATCAACTGTCTTGGAATAGTAGACTTGATTGAAAAACAAAACCCATCACTTTGTTTTCTACAGGAGACCTATTTCACCAGCAAAGATCAGCGGAAACTGTCTCATGGATTTTTATTTTCTTTTGTTACTTTCACCTCTTCTAAACACTTTCTTATTAAATTCTTCACTGACTCACCGATCACACAGAAGCATTTTCTTCAAGAAGGTTCTTGATTTTCATTTCTTCAGCGACACGTTAGTAATTCAATAGCTTGTTCAACTTCACAGTGTTAATTTCTTATTTTTTTTTCCTGTTGTTGATGGTGTTTTGTGGCTTTTCATTTAAGGGGATGTATAGTAACTGTGTGTGGAGACTGTCATATCCAGATATGAGGACACAATGCAATATGCATCTCTACTTCCAGACAAAGATGGACTCCCAATAAAACTCTTTACTATATCTTGACAACTATACTCTTGACAGCTTTATCTTGACTTTACTATATCCTGGACTCTCTGCCATTGTCCATGACTGCCATGATGGATATGATTGTCTATTGAGAATTATACTATAGTAATTATATAGGGGAACTCAGTGAGGGGGGCGGAATTAGGGAGGTGATAAGGAAAATCCCAGGGCCTATGGAACTGTATCATATAATGATAACAATAAAAAGTAAAATAAAAAAATACATCTAAATAATTTAGAATTATTTGGGAATTAACTTCAAATATTTGAAAGTATTAATACACTAAGGAAATGTCCATTGGAGATGGCAGAAATCCTTGGGCACATGCATAGTGACATATTACGCATTCGTTAAAAATATTATGTAAGTCAAAGTCCTTCACTGGAGAGACCGTTGATCTGCTGTTTATGTTTTCTTAGGTTTTGAATGACCAACTGAGTAGAAAGTGTTCAGAATTAAACATCATGCTTCAGACTGTCAGTATGGAAAATGCCAGAATCATTGCTGACCATCAAGCCATCCTACAGGTAATCATCTAACACTAGCAAACTGATTTATCAAGACTTACTTATATATTGGTCTAGTCATTTGACAAGCAGAGCCACACAAAACAAGGAGGGACAAAGTGAGAGATCTTTGATCTGCTAATTGACTCACCAAATGACCATTTCAGCTGGCTTGGGACCAGAATAAAACCAAGAACCAGGAACTCCATCCTGATCCATATTCTTTCCTTCCCAGAGTGTTAGCAAGAAACTAGATCAAAACTAGAACAGCTAGGACTTGAACTCGCACTCCAGCATGAGGTGGAGTTATAAGTAGTGACGTAGACTTCTACATCACAACACTAGCCACAAATGCTAGCAAACCCCAAGAGAGTCCAAGGAAAGTCAGCCTTGCTGAGAGATTGACTCTTACGTGTGCTAACTGGATAAAAAGACTATTTTAACAATCAGTTTCAGGAAAGTTACTGGCTTATTTGTTTGTTAGTGCCTTTGTTTTCATCAGAGGAGTGATTTGGTCTTAGCTTACTGCTTCGTAATAGTGTCTTCGGAAGTGTCATTAAAATTATGACAGTGAAAATTGTCAGTGAAAAAAAAAGTGTCAGTGAAAATTATGTAGCTATCTATAGAATTATGAGTACCTAAGACAAATCCCAAAGGATATACCTTTTCACTGAGCAGTCTGAAAACACCATATTATCCTTAGGCCATTCCCCATGCTGATAATGCTCTTCATCTCAGCTCTTTCAAGAATTGTTTTTGATATATTTTGATTGGAATGAGCTTTATTGCTCCAATAAAGAAGGCATGAGTTTTCCCTTAGAACTTTTATCCCTAGAACACTATGCAAGCTATTATATAACTATTGTGTTTTTCTTTTAGCATATATCCACCAGTGTATTGAGGAATTTATATACTTTACCTATTTTACTTGTAGCAGCTGTTAATATAATGTACCTAATTGTATACATAAGAGAAATGGAATTGGGAGCAGCATTGTAGCACAGCTGACTTAATTGCCACTTGTGACACTGACATTTCATTTAAAAATGCCAGTTCTGGTTCCTGCTGCCCTGCTTCCAGCTAATGCACCTGTAAAGGCAGTAGAAGATGGTTCAAGTGTTTGGATCACTGGCATACATATGGGAGACCAGAATATGGGATTATGAGTCTTCTCTCCTGTTTTCATCCTAGCACTGACTTGGCTGTTAGGCCTTTTGTGGGGTAAGCTGGAGGGTGGAAGATCAATAGATCAATAGGTCTGTCTCTCCCTCTCCTTTTCCTCTTTGTTTCCCTCCCATTCTCCCTCCCTCTCCCCTTCCCTGCTTCTCTTCCTACCATATCAATTTGCCTTTCAAATAAATCTTTCTTTTTTAAGAAAAATGAAGTTTGTAGAAATCAGTTAATTTGCCCAAAGTCACCTAACTAGTTGGGAGCAAAGTTAAGTTAAAAAAAAAAAAAAACAGCTCAGACTGCAGCATTAGTTTTTCTGGTCATTAAATTATGCTGGCTGCCTTGTCTATATTCTCTAGGAGTGATTTATGTACATGGTTTATTTCCTGTTACATTGTGAGCTTCCGGGAAGTAGGGATAGTATATGTGTATCTGTTATTTCCCATACTGCTAAAAAAGCTTTAGACATAGTAAATATTCAATAATTTTTTTATTAATTCAATATACATTCTGTGCGAATATAGTGATAAATCTATTCAGAATTATAGAATTGAGGAGTAGGATCTGTGGTATATCAAGTTAAGCCTCTGCCTGGAACACTGGCATCCCATATGGGCTCCTGCTTAAGTTGTGGCTTCTCTACTTCCAGTCCATCTCCCTGCTAATATGCCTAAGAAGGCAGCAGAGGATTGTAGAAGTGTTCGGTGCACCCATGTTTGAGACCCAGAAGAAGCTCCTGGCTTTGGCTGGCCCAGCTCTGATGGATGCAGTCCTCTGGGGAGTAAGCCAGTGAATGGAAGATTCTCTCTGTGTCTCCTCTCCCTGTGACTCTTTCAAATAAAAATAAACCCTTTTAAAAAAAAAAATTCGCTATATGACACATTTCTTAGGCTCTGAGATTCCCCCAACCCCTTCCTGTACCCTCCCCCCATGTTGTTTTCCTCCACATTGTTGCAGTAGTACAGTTCATATGGTCATGATTCCTTCATTGTGGGCATGGATCATGCAGAGAGTCTGGCATCTTATTCAACAGTTTCCTTTGGAGACCATCCGTAGTCTGAAAGTAGAGCTGGCAGAATATCAGCCCCTCCAATGAAAAGCTGCAACATAACATCAACAACATTATGGAGTTAACTGATATGGTGTTGATTAACCAATATGTTAGAAAATGCAAGTTCTTAACCACATCCTGTGACTACTTCATTGATTTTTCAATTTTAATTAATACACAACCGGCTGCTATACACCTTAGTATGGTTATAGGGTACTATTCAGCTGTCTCATGTCTATTTTCATTTTTATATTTAGCAGTTTATAGTATTGAAGCATAATTTTTACTGAGCTTGGTAAATTTAGGATAGTCCAAACCTACGTATAACTCTAACAAGGCATATGTTAACAACTGAGATTGTCAAAAATATAATTTAAAAAATGGGAAAAAAAACTACAATTGAGGTACAGAACAGTTTTAGGAGGGGTGTACAGAGAAATCTTCAGTACTTTAGTGAGGAGTAACTAATCTTTGTGTCCTACCTAGTAAGGTATATGTGAGTCCACTTTCCTTATTGGTCTCTGTCTATCTAATTAATCTGGGGGGGAGTTGGGGGGACTCCGGAGCTACCCTGGTGGTCATTGCAAGAGAGGGTAGGGATCCAAAGTTGGAACTAAGGACGAACCAGAGAAAGCTCCTCTCCCGAGTCTCAAAGGAAGTTTACTGTTCTGTTTCTGAGAACTACTCAGGGCTCCTGTTGTTCCGATGACATTAGATCCTGTGAGGAAAGATCTGGGCTTCTTCCATCCCATGTGGTAGATCCAAGAGGGAATGGATGATCTCAGAGTTCTCGGCCTACGAGGGCACTCCAATTCCCTGTGATCTCCTTGGCAGTTGGGATATAGTCCTTGGTGCCCATGCTGATAGTCCTTGGTGAGTCTCCGGCGTTAGGATACAAGCCTCCTCCTGTCTTCCTGTTCCACTCTGGGGTCACCCCACCTGTTCTGTGCATATGACCTCCTGTTAAGAGGCAGTAAGGATCGCTCTTGGATCCCACTGTGTGTCTTTATAGTTTTTGCTAATGTCTAATGCAGATTCAAGTCTGCTATCTATAAGTTACCTGTTATAATCTTGACAGATATACTTAACATCTCTGCTCTCCTGACCCATTGCAGAATAACATGGGGTATTAAAAGCATATAAGGCTTTTCAGTTCTTTGATGTAGATCCTAAGCAGTCTGTCTCTCGTTGATAATTGGTTACATCATAATATCTTACTGTGTGTGATACAGGCCGTTTGATGGTATAATAATATTACAGTTTACAGGAATTATTTTTAGGATTGACATCATTTCATCTTAAATTAAGGCAAACATGTGGTATCTAACCTTTTGGGATTGGCTTGTTTCCCTTAGCATAATGGTTTCCAGTTGGGCCCATTTGGCCACAAAGAACTGCGTTTCATTTTTTTTTTTTTAATAGCTGAGTAGTATTCCATGGAGTAGATGAACCATAGCTTTCTTATCCAATCTTCTGTTGATGGGCATTTCAGCTGCTTCCAAGTTTTTGCAATTATTGATTGTGCTGCTATGAACATAAGAGTGCATTTCTGGTTTCTGGTGTAACAGGTGTTTGGATATATTTCTAGAAGTGCTATTGCTGGATCATATGATATGCACATTTTCAATTCTTTGAGTGTTCTCCATACTGATTTCCATAGAGGCTGTACCAACCTGCAGTCCCACCAACAGTGGTGTAGGGTTCTCTTTTTCCCACATCCTCGCCAGCAAATGTTGTTTGTGGTTTTTTGTTTGTGAGCCATTCTTACTGGCGTTAGGTGGTACCTCATTGATGTCTTAATTTGGATTTCCCTTAATGCCAGGGAACTTGAGCATTTTTTCATATGTTTATTTGCCATTTGGGTTTGTTCCTTTGTGAAATGTCTGCCTATTTCCTGTGTCCATTTCTTGAGTGGTTTGTTTGTCTTGGTGTTTTTATTTTTCTGGAGATCTTCGTATGTTCTGGAGATTAGCCCCCTATCACTTATATAGTATGCAAAGATCTCCCATTCTGTGGGTTGCTTTTTTACTTTGTTGATTGATTGTTTTGCTGTACAGAAGCTTCCTAGTTTGATGTAGTCCCATTTGTTTATTTTGGTCTTGACTGCTATTGCTTTTGGTGATTTTTTTTAGGAAGTCAGGACCTACACCTGAATCTTGCAGGTGTTTCCAACATTTTCTTCCAAAAGTTTGAAGGTTTCTGGATCTAGGTTTAGATCTTTTATCCATTTATATTTGATCTTAGTGTATGGTGAAAGATGTGGATCTATCTTCTTGTTTCTGCAGGCTATCAACCAGTTGTCCCAACAGCATTTATTCAAGAGACCTTCCCATTTGCCTGGATTATCGTCTGTTTTTAGTCAAAGATTATTTGGCTATATCTGTGTGGGTTCCCTTCTATTGCTTCTATTCTACTCCATTGATCCTCCTCTCTATCTTTGTGCCAGTACCAGGCTGAATAAACCTTTTAAAATAAATAAACAAACAAATAAATAAACCTAATTATAATAGTGAGAAAACAAAATATCTGCTTTCAAAAACTTAGTTTATTAAGATAGAAAAGTTGTAATACTGTTGGAAATCTTTAACAGTTTTGAAATGCAACATGGATAATGCACCCATTATACCCATTTGTAATGGGTGTGTATTAAAGGTATACTTTACAGTCAATTATTATTAAAACAAAGTTTCAAAAATGTTACAAACTTAATTGTTATCATGTACTGTAAAGAACTCTGGGGAGGCTGATGGGATGGGAGATGCTGTGGTATCATAGTCTAAGGCTTTGCCTGCAGCATCTCATGGGCTCCAGTTCAAGTCCTGGTTGTTCCATTTCTAATCTAGCTTCATGCTTATGGCCTGTACCCACAGGAGAGACTCAGACGATGCTCCTGCATTTGGACTAGCCCAACACAAGTCATTGTAGCCTTTTGGGGAGTAAACCAGGGAGGGGAAGAGCTCTATTTCTGTCTTTTATCTCTATAACTCGGCCTTTCCAAAAAAAAAAAAAAGAAAGTAAACTTTCTGTATTATAGGTGGGAGTATGTATTACATGTTAAGTTTGAGGGTAGTTGTTGTGTTGTAGTAGGTTAAACTGCTCCTTGGAACGCCCCCACCCATACTAAATGCCAGTTCAGTTGTGAATCCTTACTCTGCTGCTTATAATCCAGGCTGCTCATGAGTTAAACTGGAAGGCAGCAAATGATGACTGAAGTACATGGTGGCTGAAGCTACCCATGGAAAGACTGATGGAGTGCAGGGCTCCTTGCTTTAACCGGTCCAGTCTCGCTGTTACAGTCACTTGGGGAACCTCTCCCTGTATTACTTTGCCTATCAAATGACTAGATGGGGATTTTGATTTTATTTTTTTTTTTACAGGAAAGTGGTAAGACTATTATTTTTCCCATATTGTTTCCTTCATGTTTAAAGGGGGGCCTTAAGGGAGAAGGCCCACCCAGTTTCCCACCCTCCCCAGGTCCAGGATGTAGGGTATGCTCCGAGGTTCTTGCTCAAGTGGTTTTGATAGTTCAACAGTTAGGAATCACTGCCAATCTTGCCACTCCAAGCACTATGAGGTCTTTGAAGAACCACATAGTCCATCATAGAGTCCCTGCCCTGTATTTTGCTGCCAAGATATAGCTGGGATGGTTGGTTGACCTGTTCTGTTTTCTGTCTTGTCTTGGTTAGGGTTCTGAGTCCAGCATTTCAATTGTGGAGATCCCCAAAGAAACTTTGTCTGCGGTGTTCGCAGACCACATTCTTGTATGTACTAGCAAGTACAGGGCCCAGCACATTCCATCGCCCCAATTAGCTGGTGGTTGCAATTGCTATGTTGGTTCTGTTTCCACTCCCGACTTCCACTGGAACCAATGGGTGTTACAATCCAGCCTGGTTCTGCTCAGCACAGACTCAGTCCTCACATAAACCAGTGGGAGCTGCAGCCTAGTCGGATCAGCCCACAATAACCCCCACCAGGCCCGCCCCCTACCCTGGTTAGCCAGTATGTATAGCAGTAGTCCAGTCTGTCCCACAACCCATTCCACCCCAGCTGCTGTCCTAGTTTTATGCCCTCCCGTGGAAGTGGTAACCCAAGAGGGAGGAGCCCACTGTTTCCCTCCTAGGCCTCTCCCACTCCCAGCTGATGCACTCTCCAGATAGTTCTGTGGTTTGACTTGACAGAACTAGCCCCCAGTGCCAGCTTCTGGCAACTGAAGCCGTGGCTAAGCCCAAACAACCCTCACCCACTCTAATTTTGCTTGCACCAGTAGGAATAATCAGCCCAGCCTGGCTTTTCCCTGATCTAGTCCACATGAGGCCCGAGGTGTTGTAGCCCTGCCTAGTCTGGTCTGCCCCCATCCCAGTCCACGCTCTGCTGCGGGAGTAGCTGTCCAGTAAAGGAACCCTCCCTTATTCCCCTGCTGGCTCCGCCCCCTCCTTTCCTTGTTCTCACGCATGCTGGTTGGGCACTGCAGTCACATCCAGTACAGGCAACCTCACCTTGGCATTCCTTATTGTGCACTAGTCTTTGTTGCGACCAAACCTGGCTCGACCCACACTGTTCTGGTGCTTTGATTTGCCAGTGGAATACGTAGACAGAGTCAGCCTGGTTGGCCCCCGACCCATGCCAATTCCATGGCCTGTTCTGGGCTGTTTCCTATCATGCTTCTTGTGCTTACCTGCCAGGTCTGTGTCCTGCCAGAGGAGTTGCCCAGGCTCCTCCATCAGAACCTCTCCCAACGCCAGGTTTCACGCTTACCAGTGGGTCCATGAGCCAGCCCTACTCAGTCCACCTCCTGTCAGCAGGAATAGTGGCTTTTCCTGTCTGGCCTTCAACCCAAACTGGTTCTTGCTATTGGATGTTTCAGCCCAGCCATGGTTTGTCCATACCCACATATGGCTCACACATGGCTCAGTAGGGGGTTAAGACCTTGCCTAGTCCATCGCACATCTGCCCTTGTCCTCCAGGACACCAGAGGGTGTTGGGGTCTGGCCCGGTTCGGTGGATCCAATCCCAGTCCACACTGTGCCAAGGGAGACTACAACCATTTCCAGATCAGAATGCAGCCCCATTCCAGCTCACACACCCCTTGGTGGGAACCTCAACCCAGCTAGGGTTGTCCCCTTAGCTCCCCAACTGGGCCTGTTCCCAGCCATAGATCTCATACATGCCAGTGGTTGCTTTGACTCAGCTTGGCACAACCCCTCACCTGTCCTGACCTCTGCCTTAGACACTGTGGCTTAGCGTTCCTGGCTCACGCAGATCAGTAGGAGCAAGAGCCTAGCTCGGAATGACCTGTGCTCCATCCTGGTCTCTAGTTTTGCTTGGGGGGTAAGGTTTGCTCAGTCTGTCTGATCTACCCTGTTCCATTACCAATTTACACATTAGCCAGCTGTTGGAGCTACTTTTCCCAGCTTGTCTGACCCCCAGGTCTGGACCACATGTTCACCAGCGGTACCTATGACTCGCCAAGGGAGTTTCCCAAGTTCCTCCATTTGATCCACTCCCAGACCCAGTTCTCAAACATGCCATTAGGTTTAGGCCAGTGCCCGGCACAGTCTGGCCTTCCATTTGGCCTTGTATGAGCTGATGAACGTTGCAGCCCGGCCCACCCCACATCCTAATCAGGATGCACATTCAGGTGCTGCTGCCCTGTCCAGTCCATACTATTGGGGGTTCCTTTACTGGTGAGTGATGGCAGGCTCGTGGGTCACACCTAGCTTAGTCCATCACCACCCCAACTCGTCAGCAAACCAGTGGGGCTAGAATTTCCACAGGGTTTGGCCCACACATCCCTCACAGTATTTACCCCGGTTATGGTTTTTGAGTGCTAGTTAATGTAATGGCTTGCTTAATGTGACCCGTCTCCTGATCCATCATCATGTCAGGTAACATGATATAATTCTCCAGGACAAGCCCTAAGCCATAGCTTTTGCATGGACTGGTATTTGATGGTCAGCATTGTTCAGTGATTACAAGTTTTACAAAGGAAGAGTTACTGCCAATGGGAATCTTTACGAATGCTTCACATCCTAAAAGCACAATGGGTTCAGCCTGGAGCTAACTAAGCAGCGATTCAAAGAAACAAAACCCCAGCACTCCCCAGCCGGGTGGCCAGCAGGCAGAGCCTGGCACCAAATGGCGCACTGGCTGCCTATGGACAGCTCACCATGTGCACGTGGTGGCTGTCATCTGGGATCCATGCATGAGATGCCCTGTCCTGAGACCCACCAGCAGCTGGGAGGGGAATTTTTTTTAATGTTATGTTTTAATTCTAAAACTGTGAGCTGGGGAAAATAATTTTTGCAGGACAATAACAGTATCTGAACACAGTTTAAGATTCTCAAAGAGTGGGATTTTTTAGAGATGAAGGAACCTTTTCATTTTATATGCCTTTATATTGCTTTCCTTTTAAAATATACCAAGGGCCTGGTGTAGTGGCTCATTGGCTAAATCCTCACCTTGCAAGCGCTTGGATTCCATATGGATTTCAGTTTGTTTCCAGGCAGATCCACTTCCATCCAGCTCCTTGCTTATGGCCAGGGAAAGCAGTAGAGGACAGCCCAAAGCCTTGGGACTTTGTACCAACACAAGTGCAAAGTCTTCTTGCAGACTTGGAGAAAGCTCCTGGCTCCTGGCTTTGGTTTGCCTCAACTCCAGCCATTACCAGTGAATTCAAGGTCACCTCTGTCTCTCCTTCTGTCTATAAATCTTATCCGCCTTTCCAATAGACATAAATGAATCTTTTAAAAGATACCATACTGAAATTTAGAAGTACCAGAGTATTCTTAATGTAATCTGTTTTCCTTAAAAATATGTTAGAATTAAAAATTTCAGATACTCCAGCATGCTGGGTAAATAATGCATGCTGAATAGGACTCGGGGAAAGCTGGCCATTAAATTATTTGGAAAGGAAGTGCTCTTCGTGTAGATGGACTTACCTTTTTAAAGTTAATTCAGTATCTTTTGTTAGTTACTCCAAGTAATACCCTCTCCTATGACTTACTGCCAACTCAAGTTCTTAATATTACTCCTAACAGGTAGGACAGAAAATGATGACTCAGACATTTCAGGAACAAAGCCTAATACTGAGTGCAGCTCATGCCACCATCACCAGTGAGCTACAGACAGTAGAGAATGAGAAAACCCAACTCCAAGAACATCTGTAAGTAAATAACAAATAGCAACTTGGGTGTTTCTTCTTGCAGCTTTATCTTTTTTTTATGATTAATGAAATTGTTTAAGTCTACATTTGCCGGGCTGACTCAAGACTCTGCCTTCAAGGAGCTAATTTGGTTCAAAAACTGGTGACTGCTCATCTGAGAGAGCTGTGCTGTGCGAACATTCAGTCATTCATTCTGTAACAATAGAGATTTTGCTTTCTATCTGCAGGGACCATTTAATCCTTGAGCATAATCAGTGTGTACACAAAGCACAGGAGGCTGAGAATAGGGCAGCTTTGCAAAAAGAACTTCTGGAATCAACTATTGCTAGGCTGAGAGGTGAATTGGAAGTGTCAATTCAAGAGAATAAGTGTCTACTGGAAGAGAAAGAAAGATTTCAGAGAGAGGTAGGTGAAAAGGTTGATACTAGTGCCTACTTCGGATGTGATGATGTTGCTTTGAAGCACAAAAGAACAGAAACAAAACGCAGAAGTGGTTTGCCTGAATTGCTTGGTAAATCTCTAGGTGTTCTAATCTATGCATTTTAGCATGTGTGATAATCTAAGGCAGACAGTATGGTGTTCCCTAACAGAACACTGATGACTGTCCAAAAATAATTCTTATGTCCTCGTGTTAGTTAAGGGGTCTGATTTTTTCAAATGACTTCTCCTGAAGGAGTGGGAGAAAGGAGGCTACAAAGCAGCCCTGCCTTCCTACTTGAGAAGGACCCAGCAGAGTCTGGCATGCAGGCGTGCCTCGCTGATTTCAGGGCTGTTTGTAAAGTCAGCTCTGCTTCTGACTCCCTGATTGGCCCCTTCTCTAAGAGGCTTTGCAGTGTAGGTGTTAATTGACCTACAGGATGTATCTTAACATGGAGCCTGTCAGCTGCAGTAAAATTGACCCATTTCTTATTTTTTCCCCTCCTTTGGGCAGATTAATAAAACAGAAAAAGAAACAAAACAAGAGAAACACAATATGGAAACGGAATTAGCTAAAAACAAGGTATTGCACATTTTGTTGGTGTTCTACTGTATTTTATTTCCATTTATTGCTATTTACGTAGCAGCTTAATATGATAAGGAGCTGGATAATTTTAACACATCCTAAGATATTTGGGTGTTAGGGGTGTGAGGATAACAAGGCCATTGCCACTCAGAACATCTTACTGTCTCTGGAGACATTTGCTCCTTGAGCCTGTGGGGTTCACCAGTGAGTCATCACTGCCTCTGGCCTTGGTGTTTACTGAATACTTTAACCATGTGGTCCCCAGAGAGGGAGCTGAAGGGCCCAGGAGAGGCACAAGGATGCTTGCTGACAAGGCTGTTTTGTTTTTAAGCCTGTCTAGGCTTCTTATTTACCTGTTAGCACCTGCACTTTTTGAGATATCTTTTTCTGGGTTCTGAAAAAGTAAGTGGTCAAAGAAGCAAACAGACTCTCATTAAAACAGTCAATTTTTTCAATATTGCTGTTATCTCAGAACCAAGGGATTTGATTATGTATCACTGTCATCTAGAGAATGTATCATGCATAAGGAATGTTAGCTTATTCCGGACAAAAATTCCAGCAATAGGTGTTGTGGGATAGAATCATCAAACCTTCATTATTTATTTCTTGGCTTCTTGTTGGTCCAGATATCATTCTGTATATGTTTATAAGAAATTCTAACAATTGGGAAAAGAAGAAAAAGCAAACTTTTCAGCATAAACTCAAATATACTAACCATTAAACTGGCACGAGCTCCTTCTATGATTCATACCTAAAATTTTCCCTAATAATCCTTGAATTAAGATGACTTCCTGGGCACCAGAAAAGTACCTGTTTGCTCAAATGTACTTTTATTTTAAAAAATTTATTTGGGGCCCGGCGCGGTGGCGCAAGTGGTTAAACGTCCTCGCCTTGCACGCCCGGGATCCCATATGGGCGCCGGTTCTAATCCCGGCAGCCCCGCTTCCCTTCCAGCTCCCTGCCTGTGGCCTGGGAAAGCAGTGGAGGACGGCCCAAAGCTTTGGGAACCTGCACCCGCGTGGGAGACCCGGAAGAGGCTCCTGGCTTCGGATCGGCATAGTATCGGCCCGTTGCGCTCACTTGGGGAGTGAATCATCGGACGGAAGATCTTCCTCTCTGTCTCTCCTCTCTGTATATCCGCCTTTCCAATAAAAAAATAATAAAAATAAATCTTTAAAAAAAAAATTTATTTGAAAGGCAAATTAACAGACAAGGAGAGACAGACCTTCCGGCCACTGGTTCACTTTCAAATGGCCACAGCAGCCACAGCTGAGCAAACCCAAGGACAGAAGCTAGTAGCTTTTTTTTTTTTTGTTAGGTTTCCCACATGGGGGCAGAGTACCAAGGAATTGGGCCATCCTCCACTGCTTCCCTGTTAACAAACCCAGAGCTGGATGGGAAGTAGAGCAGCCAGGATACAAACCGGCACTCATTTGGGATGCAGATAAATGAAGGTGGAGGATTAGCTTGTTAAGCTACAACGCCAGCTCCTCAAATGTACATTTCAAAGTTGGTCAAATTGATGGTTACTCATTTTTTGCTCAAGAAATACTAATGTTACCTGGCTAAGGTAATTGCTGTGAAGAAGTTTATGATAAAAATATAGCATCATAATTTTGCTTGTGTGATTTCATTTGTCCTTTTTAAAAATTTTACTATTGTTATTATTTTATGATACAGCTCCATATTCCCTTATCCCCTCCCTAATACCCTCCGCCCCCCATCTAGTTCCTCTATATCATTACTAACATATAGTTTGTCATACTCAGTCATATGTCCATCATTGCGGGCATGGACAATGGCAGAGAGTCCAGCATCCTATTGTCAAGACATAGCGAACTGTTTCATTGTAAGTCCAGCTTTGTCTGGAAGCAGAAATACATACCACAGTGCATCCTCACATCTGAATGTTAGTCTCCATTTCACAGCTATTGTACATCCCCTTAAATGAAAAGTCATGATGCAAAATCAACAATACAAAGAAAAATACAAATTTACAATGCCATGAAGTTAAATGACATGTTACTAGATATGACAGTCTCCATTACACAGCTACTACACATCCCCTTAAATTAAGAGCCACAAAACAAACTCAACATCCAGGAGAAAAAAGAAATTAACAATCCCAAGAAGTTAAATAACATGCTATTAAATGTCTAATGTGTAGCTGAAGAAGTGAAAATCAAGAACCTTCTTGAAGAAAATGATGCCACTGCATGATCTACGAGTCATTGAATGATTTAATCAGAACAAAGTGTTTTGAAGAGATGACACTAACAGAAAACAACAAATCCCATGCAATATAGTTTCTGCTGATCTTTGTTGAACTGTGTCTCCTACAGGCAATGAACAGATGAGTTTTGTTTTTTTAATCCAGTCAGTCTACTAATCTATGATGTTTGATTGAGCTTAAGCCATTTATATTCAGAGTTAAACATACATGGGTGGTACTTTGGTCCTGTGATTTTAGGAATGGGTTGTTCATTGGTTTAGTCTTCTGTTGTCATTTTACTGGGATGTTCTTCCCATTTGCCTATGGTTTTGTTTTGTGTCTTGAAGTATCCTTTGTAGGGCAGGTTTGGAAGAGGCAAATTCTTTCGAATTTTCTTTACTCTGGAAGAATTTTATTTCATTTTCGAGGACAAAAGAAAGCTTTGCTGAATATATTCTCCTAGGCCGACAATATTTTTCTTTTAGAATCTGGAATATGTCACTCCATTCTCTTCTTGCCTGTAGAGTTTCCTGTGAGAGATCTCCTGTGAGTTTCATTGGCATTCCTTTATATGTCAATTGATTTTTTTCACGTGCACATTTAAGGATCTTTTCCTTATGTTCAAGTGAAGATAGCTTGATGATCATGTGTGTTGATGAAGATTGCTTTTGAGAGTTCTGTGTCCCTCCTGGATGTTGTTTCCCAATTCTTTCTCCAGACTAGGGAAATTTTCCTTAATTATTTCATTAAATACATTTGCAAACTCAGCTTCTCTTTCTGCACCTTCTGTGACTCCCATAACTCTTTCATTTGACCTCGTAATAGTGTCTCTCAATTCTTGAATTCTTTTTTTGGCTGGATCCAGCTCTGCCTCCAGCTTTTTGTTTGCTTCTCTCTGATGACAGGAAATACCTTCCAATTCTGAGATTCTCCCTTCTGCTTGCTTCATTCTATTTTGGAGACTCCACTGTACTTTTAATTTGCTCTACTGTGTTCTTAATTTCTGATATATCAGCTTTCGTTTGGCTTATTGCTTCCTTAAATTCTTCGAACTCTTATATTTGCTTCTCATTGTTGATCAGGAGCTTTAAAATGAGTCTTATGGATTCTGTGTCCCCCATTTTCTCGATGTCTTCCTCAGTTAACTCTGAGATTGGCAAAGGGTTTTGCTGCTTGGCAGGGGAGTTTTCTGTAATATTCATTGTGCCTTTGTCTCTTCTTTTGCTCTTGGTCACTCTACTTCTGGTTAACAGAGTCTTCTCCTTGAGGCAGGTTACTAAGCTGTGTCACCCACAGGTCTACAATGTGATTTTACCTATTGCAGTTAGTGCACAACTTCTTGCTTGCAGCCACTTGTGCCACAATTCCAGCGAGTTCCAGGTCTGGGTTCTTATGTCAGATTTCCACCATGGTCTCTGTAGCCCCAGCTCCTGGTTCACCAATCTCCACCTCCTGTGATACCATGCTGAGGCTGCACTGTTGTCTCTGCAACCTTTTTCCCACTTTCGGTTGGAGCAGGTCTCAGGATTTGAGAGATACCAGGTGTTGTATATAATTAGATTGTTGGTGGTGCTGATCTTCTCAGAACCTGTTGGATGTTAGGTCTGGGTGCCACACGGACCTATTTTGACCAGTATCATGCCATAGTTGGTATTATTTTCCTGCGGGACCTCAGCGAGTTCTCGTGAGCTCAGCACATGCACACTTCACTGTTGTCCCTGCAGTCCTAAAGCTATTGCCACAGTGTACAAAATGGTGCCTGGAGTACCACTACTACAGTTCTTGATCTACTGGCCATCAGATCCGAGGGCTACCCAGTCCTGCCCTAGGTGGAACCCGTAAAATGCCACGTCATTGCAGTTCACCGAGTCAGAAATAAGTTCACTCCCCGCTCAGAGCATGCTCTGTCCTTTCCCTTGCCCTTTGCCTCCTCATGCAAAATGGCGCCCAATTCAGCTCTAGGGGGCTGACTGAGCTGTGAAATCCACTCTGTCTCACACATTCCCCGTCTGAGATTTGCTTCTCTGTCTCTGCTCCTGGTAAAATCAAACTGACCAGCTGGACCCAGTTCTTTGTCTGGCTTCACCTCCCAGGCTCCCAGTGAAAGCCCCTTTCCACCTGGTTGCTGGTGGAGTTCCAGCTGCTGGTGGAGTTCAGATCGGCATGCTGGAGTATCAGTCACTGCAACACCACACTGCTGTTTCCGCTGCTTTCCTGTGTCTGTCAGTCTCCAGGTTCCCCTCTGCTGTTGTTCTGTCCTTTCCTATTTCCTGAAATACGTCCTCTCTGCTTTATCCTCATTAAATGTTCTTCCATCCGTTTAAACATGTCCTACCGTATTCTGCCATCTTGATTCTCTTATTTTTCTTAATGTTGCTCAACTGTAAATATATGGAATTGAAAGATACTTGCTCATTTAAGTTTTATCAAGCCAGTTGCATACAATACATACATACAATTCTGTCTTTAAGTGTGTATTCTTGAATGGCTGTTTAAAAGTTAGGCTTATTTTAATGTACCATAACACTGTATAAAAATCATCCTTTTCAATGTATGTACAATTAATGAGTTTGACTAACACATTATTCTGTAACTGCTAACACAATCGGGATATAAAACATTTCTATAAATTCTATAATTATATAGATATAATATAATTCTATAATTCTATAATTCAAGAAAGTTCTCTTGTGCCCTTTTTTAAATCAATTCCTTCCTCTGCTCCCTTCTTCTGTAAGTCACTGGTTATTTTTCCTGTCCCTGCAATTACATCTTTTCTAGATTGTCATGCAAGTGTCATCATACAGTATGTGCAGCAGTCCACATGCTGTATGTTCCATTCAGAGTCAGTAAACCACAGAGAATGAAGGTAGAACAGTGATTGCGTTGGGTTGGGAAATGCAACAAATAGGCAGTAAGTTCGAAGGCATACAAATTTTGATTTAGGGGAGCAGGGATAATGAAAATGTTCTAAGATTGTGATGTGTGTGTGTGTGCGCGTGCCCATGCACGCATATGTAGGTGTAATAGATTTTATGGTGTATCTTTCAACTATGATAAATCACTTGATTCTAGTTTCATTTTTCGTAAATTTGTTGCAATTTTATATGTAAACAGTCATGTCTGTTTTGACAGTTTTATGAAAGCAGTTAAGGTTTTTGTATATTGCTGCATCTGCTTTACCAATATTTTGCGGAGAATTTTTCATATATATTCATAAGTTTGAATTAATATTTAAGTGAATATGTACTAGCAAGGCTTCCACTTTACCTACGTGAACTGTGTAAGTTGCAGCAACCCTGCAGCTGAACACAAGAAAAAAAATGAAGAAATGGAAAAGAAAGGTTTTTAAACATCCTACAGTTGTCAGTCTGACTGGTCAATTCACCAGATATAGATGGAGGGTCGTGTGTGTTAGGTGTCTACATTTTATTGTTAAAAATGTCATTTTAAAAGTAAGATTGTAAATCAAGCATAAGTGATTTATTTTTGTTTTATTTTTCAAAGGCAGACATAAATACATTAAATGAAAACCTGCAGACTCTATTGGAAGAAAATAAAAACCTGGCAAATCAAATGGCTTCCCTAGACGTTCAGCAAGTCACTTCGGATTACCATGGGGTGGGTATAAAAAGGTCAGTCTAAAGTAGGAAGTAAGGATTCATGAGAAAAAATGTTTAGTCAGAAGATGGGTTTTCTTTGTATTGTAATGATTTTCAGGACTCAGAATAAATATGAGCAAAACTCCTGCATTATTCAAAAAATAAAAAATTTACAAAGCCAAGAATTTGAGGCATTTGCCTACACAGAACATCTTTAAAGCTGGAAAGTGCAACTATATCTGATGTTTTAAACTCTTCTTCCATGCAGTATGAGGAATAATTTTACAAGTTTCCTCCTGACAGTGCCCTCAGTTAGGTAGATGATAGATTTCTAGAAGTTGCTTGACAAGACCTGTGCATGCTACATAAATGGCAGAGTTCTTACGATGTCCCTCCAGGAAAGAGGATTTAACACGATGATCATTCTGCTAAGAAGCTAATAATTACTCTACTTGCTTTTGAATATTTAAAAAAGAATCACTGTAGCATCCACATAATCTGAAAGTTAATACATATGTTTCCTAATCTGAAGTAGAGTCTAATTTTCTCATAAATTGCTTATTACTTTCAGTATGAAAAATTAGACTTGGCCAAATCATGGTACATTTTTAGAACTTTTGAGCCAGGCTTTTAAGGTTTCAATTTTGGCCATGACCTTGGGAAGGATCTTTGACTTCTCTAAGCCCCATATTCTTAGTCCAGGTGAGGCTAATAATACTATTTCTGTGAGTAATTTGAAGATTAATACATGAAAACCATATATCTACAATTCATTGAATTCTAATTATCTGAACCTTCCCAGGAAAAAAGAGCCTATTAGAATGATGTGATCTTATTAATTGGAGTTCTTAGTATTAACGTCAGATCAGCCCTCCCAGGATGAAAGAATAGGCCTTGTTCTTTGCTTGTTGTTTATCTGGGCTTATCCAACTTTTCAGTTTGGATCCCTCTGGAAGATCAGATCCAGTTATTTCCTGAACCCACTGCCAGTGAGGAGGTCTAACAAACTACACTGTTAGTGATATTGACAGAACTTGCCAATGTTCCTTTTTTGCTTTCTGATCTCATGTCTATTGTCCGATATATATTTTTTACTTCATCATCTTAATTTTATTTTTAAAAATATTTATTCTTTTAAACAGATTCAATATGCTTCATAAATACAATTCTGAGAATATAATGATATTCCCTTTCTCCTTCCTTCATTCTTACTTTGTTCCTCCCACACTTTTTTCTGCTTTCCTCTTTAATTTTTTAAAGATTTATTTATTTTTATTGGAAAGGCAGATATACAAAGAGGAGGAGACACAAAGAGGAAGATCTTCCTTCCGATGGCTTACTCCCCAAGCGGCCTCAACAGCTAGAGCTGAGCCAATCCGAAGCCAGGAGCCTCTTTTGGGTCTCACGCAGGTGCAGGGTCCCAAGGCTTTGGGCCATCCTCGACTGCTTTCCCAGGCCACAAGCAGGGAGCTGGATTGGAAGTGGAGCTGCCAGGATTAGAATCAGAGCCCTGGGCCTGGAGGCATGGCCTAGCAGCTAAAGTCCTCGCCTTGAACGTGCCAGATCCCATATGGGTGCTGATTCTAATCCCGGCAACTCCACTTCCCGTCCAGCTCCCTGCTTGTGGCCTGGGAAAGCAGTTGAGGATGGCCCAAAGCCTTGGGTTCCTGCACCGGTGTGGGAGACTTGGAGGAGGTTCCTGACCCCTGGCTCCAGATCAACACAGCACTGGCTGTTACACTCATTTGGGGAGTGAATCATTGGATGCAAGATCTTCCTCTCTATCTCTCTTCCTCTCTGTATATCTGACTTTGTAATAAAATAAATGCATCTAAAAAAAAGAAAAAGAACCAGGGCTCCTATGGAATCCCAGCACATTCAAGGCAAGGACATTAACTGCTACTCTGTTGAGCCAGGCCCTCTAAGATGATATATTTTAGTTTTCTGTGACAGTAAAAAGGCTTAGTACTTCACACAATAAGAAGTTTAACAAGTATAAAACAAAAGACCTAAGTTTAGTGGGATTATAGAAAATGGCTAGAAACAATTGAATGGAAAAATAATTTCACTCATATATGAAAAATTTTAAAGTAATCATAGGTTATTAAAACTATAGTATTATATTTTTAACCCTTGTTTTAGCAAAGGTATAAGACAAAGTTTTAAAAAATGTTTTATTTTTTTGATTTTATGGTACAATTGCATAGGGTCTGGGATTTCCCTACCCACTCCCCGAATCCCCAACCCCCAACTGACTTTCCCCATATTATTACAGTAGTGTAGTCCTTCATAAGCAGTTATGTCCATCAGTCTGTTATTTGTGTCCTGATATTCCTGATACAGACAATGCCAGATAGTCCAGCATCCTGTTATTAAGATATATCCAACAGTTTCATTTGGAGTATTTTGAGCATCATAGTAGTTAATGCCCTGTTATTGAGTCTGAGTTTTTATGCTGAATGTACATGGTTTTAAAAGGGTAGGTGATGCACAAAAGGAACTCACTCTTCATGCTATTTCCATAGTTGATAAATCTAGAATGTCTAAAATCCCAGTTCTTCTCATTAAGGCAGCTAGCAAGTGCAAAACAATGTTCCAGGCTTGAATGCCTTCTAGCGTCTGTAAATATTTTGAAGACATAAAAATGACTTTCATTTATATAAAATCTTGTTTTGGATGTGTTTTTGCTTTTATTTAGAAATAGATGTATTGGTGTCAAAACACTTAAAATGAAGTAAAGTACACTACAGAATGAATAAATGCGCTGTAGAGTGTTGCTGTAATAACTGATGATGTTGGAGACGCTGAGGAACATCTGTGTGAATCAATGCCCCTACACACATGGCTTCCTTGGTACCAGTCTGCTCAAAGCTGAACTTAAAAGTCTGAATTTTTTTACTTGAAGTAGTTAAATGAGCAATAGAATGGTTTTTCTTTTTATTAAGAAGATATAAGCCTGAAGTACCGAATTATGTTAGTATGTACTAATTGACTAAGAAGTACTGAAGTACTTCTAATTGACTAAGAATTTGTACTCAAGATTAACTGCAGATAATCCATAATGCAGCTGGCAGCCGGTGACTGATTAAAATTTTGTGAAGATCATTTTGACAGAAAACACTGGTTATTTCCAGTTAAGATACAACATTGACATTGCTTTTGGAAAGCGAAAATTTCTATATTCCATCACTAATACTAGTCATTGTGTTTTATAAGGCATGACTAAAACTGAGAATTTAAGTAGATATTTTTCTGACAGTCTTAAATAACATGAAACTTTTCTTAAGTTTTGAATCGTGAATATGTCCTTGCATTAAATGTAGAACTTTCAGTAATCTTTTTGCTCAGATAACACTTTGTTGAGTGCTTAATCTGCTGATGAATTTGAATCTCCAATAAGCATTTGAGGTTTCTTTGGAGATTTGTTTTTTGCTGCTCTTTATTGCTATAACTGAAGTGCTCTTTGTTAGTAGTTGTCATTTGCACTTCTTGTTTCCTGAAAGAACTGAATAGTGCTTTCAAACTTTCTGATGCAATTACACCATGTCAGAGTTGGATCACAACTACAAAGGAATAACCAATATAAAATAAAAAATCAACACGAAGAACAACAAACCCTGGTAATCTTATAGCTTTCTACATTTATTAGCAGTCTGCACTAGCTCTGTGTTAGCAAGCTGATCAGCTATTCAGGAAAAGCAGCAATAGCAAACACAAATCTTAATGTTATTACTACAAAATGTAGATTTTAAAAAGGACAATGATTATATGTCAAGAGGTACTGACATCTATGTTTGCTTTATCAGCTTGCCCACCAGAAGGTAGAAAAAGTCTTGGGAAAAATTACGGAGAGTAAAAACAAACTGGCTTATGAAAAGGGAAAGCTCCAGGTAGGAGATTTATTCTTTGATTTTTGTTGTCTAATTTTTCTTTTTTCTTAAAATTTGTATTTAAAAGGCAGAGAAAGAAAAGTGAGTCTGCCCACTGGTTCATTCCTCAATTTCCCATAAAGAGCCAGGGCTGACCTGGGCCAAAGGAAGGAGCCTAGAACCCCATCCATGCCTCTCATGTCAAGTATCAGGGACCTAAGTGTTTGAACCACTGCTGCCTCACAGGATTACAATAGCAGGAAGCTGAATGGGATAGCCGAGAAGCAGGAATTTGAACCAAGCACTTAGATGTGGGATGATGGCTTAATGTGCCATACCTAAAAGACTGCCCGTGTTGGTGGTGACCAGGTCCGTGAGACCCAGGGTGGTAGGTCTGGCAGGTCCGAAGTGGCATGGCCTGGAGCCTTGGACCTGCCTGTGCAGTGGATGCTGTATCTGTGAACCTCAGGGGTGGGGAGTCCAGCCTGGCCCTGGGTCTCTTGGCCTAAGTCCTAGGGCACACCTACATGATAGGTATCGGGTCTGTGAGCCCTGGGGGAGGGGGAGTCAAGTGGGGCCTTGGTCTTTTGGCCCTGGTCCTTGGACCTGCCTGTTTGGTAGGTGCTGGATCTGTGAGCCCCAAGAGTTGGGGGGCCTGGAGAGGCCTGGGTCTCCTGACCCAGGTTGCTAAGCCCACCTCCGTGGTAGGGCCAGGTCTGTAAGCCCCAGGGGCAGGGGCCCAGTAGGTCCTGGGTCACATAGCCTGGGGCCTTGGGCTTACCTACAAGGTGGGCACTGGATCTGTGAACCCAAGAGATTGAGGGATCTGCCTTGGCCCAGGGCCCCTGGCTCAGGACTATGAACCCACCTAAGAGAACTGATCCTCCTCAGTGTAGAGGATGGAGTGCTGAATGGTAGATCATGGTGCACTTGGAGGACATGGTAGCTCACTGGGACCTGCAGAGGACATCCAGCACCATAGCAAAGAATGGAGAATAGAACATACAGACAACTACCTCAGCCAAACAAGGATAGCAAATATCTGGGTGAAAGGAGACTCTAAGGGCGACTGTGTCATCTAATGGACATTGGAAGGGATTCTTCATCCATACATCAGCAAGATCAATAGTGTTTCTGAACTATCACATCCACCTGGGCAGAACTTTTGGAGCATGCACCACATTGTGACCCTGGGCTGATATCAGGTGGCCTTTCCCCATCCTTGGGTCCTGGCATGGTTGGGAGGCTCGTTATGGCCTATCCCCTGTCTCTCCCCTCTCCCCCAGAAATGGGAAGAAGAAATGGAAAGTTGGAAACAATGATCACAACCCACTTCTCCCTAACCGTGGATTCTTCCCACCCTGATTGACTATGCAAACATCATCTAAAATTTAAAAATATATATATATATCCATCTTAAAAAAATGTGTGATAAGAGGCAAATGTGAAAGTCTTCACAGTCAAATACGGTCTGCTTTCTCTTGAGCTATATGGGTTAATAGCAGTTTGTTTATGTTTAAAATGAGGGTAATTATGGAACCAATAACTCCTTTAATGACAGCCATTTTAATGAGAACCATGATTGTTCCTGATGGCTTAGGAGAGGTGTACACGCAGTTTTTGATGTACACCGTGGAGAAGCAGAAACAAGCTGGCAGAAGTCAAAGCAGCAGCCTGCTAATGGACAGGGAAGATCTCACCTGAACAACGCAGCCTTTCCAAAAAAAACTTGATCTTAGTACTCAAATTTTAAAAGCTCCTAAAAAAATGTTAAGTATGTATAGCCAGAAAAGTATTTCCTGCCAAAGAAAGATAGGAAATAGGATATTGCAAGAAGAAAAAAAATTTAAGATGAAATTTTGGATGGAAATTTTACTGATAGCTTCATAACATTGTTTTATATGAGAAAATTGGGTCTGTGAGATATATGGAAAAACAATTTGAACACCTGAAAGTCTGTGAGGGATATTTTTAAAGTGAATGGAAAATGCGTATTTTGTAAAGCCTGTGCATAGATTTAAAAATATTTTGTACCAAAACAAACATCCCTTAATTCTATATTTCCACAAACTTTGTGGAGTATTCCTGAATTAGTGATTTTTTTTTTCACTCTGCAAAGTGATTGTGTTTTTTTTCCTTTTTTTTATTGTTATTAACATTGTATTATGTGATACAGTTTTATAGGCACTGGGGATTCTCCCCACCCCTCCCATACCCCTCCCCCCATGGTGGATTCCTCCACCTTGCTGCATAACCACAGTTCAAGTTCAGTTGAGATTCCTTCCTTGCAAATGTCTCAATTTAAACCAACATGTAAAAGTTCCATTTTCCATGTGAAAACTTTTCTGATTTTCTTTCAGTAAAACACAAGATTCTCTGTGATTCTTGCCTGCTAACAATTTTAATCTCTATATTCAAATAGTTTTTGACTGTTAGGTTCCACAGTTTATTTAAAGTTAAATATAACAGCCACAAATTTCATTGTTACATTCATGAAGCATATCTATTTGAAGTTTCCCCTAAACAGTACCAATCAAATAAGCTATTTGAGCCGGTACAGCCAGCCTACTTTTGGCTGTGCCCTGATATAGTATCCTTTACATGGTTAGAAAACCTTTGGATTATTTGTTACAAGTTATGTTGCATAACTATTTTGCAACACTCCTGACTTTTTCTCCTTTTGGAGTATATTTGTCTTATTTTGTTATCTTTCTGTTTTCTCCCTAGATAAAAGTTAAACAGCTTGAACAACAACTACATGCTTTTACTGAAACCAACCAACAGAATGACCACCTATGCAAGCTGAATAAGGCTCTAGAGGCCAAATATGACCAGGTATGTTTAATATCTACAAGAGCACATTGCAGTTACATTGTTCAGGGTTTGTTTTTAAGATTTATTCATTTTTTAAAAAAATTTTATTGACTTATTTGAAAGAATAACAAAAAGGGAGAGACCCAGACCATAGCCAGGAGTGGGCCAGGCTGAAACCAGGAGCCAGGTACTCCATCCTGGTCTTCCACATTGGTGTCAGGAGTCAGAATATTTGAGCTAGCTTGTGCTTCCTAGGTGTGAGCAGGAGCCTGGAGGATTTGGGATGTGAACTAGAGTATGCAGGGAGTAACTTAACACCCTACAATTCAATGCCAGGTCATTTGTATTTCCTAAGAAACTTTTTGATTTTTGTCAGCATACATGCAGTCCTACAAAAATGAGTGTGCTCTTATTTGTTTCAGTTTAACAAATATTTTTTAAGCACTTACTATGTACAAGGATTTGATAAACCATAGGGAAATTTACCTGGAGCAACATTACTGTGTACAACTTCTAAAAGGATGTATAGGAATACATTCCAATTTTTTTCATCGAATAGAAAATTAATAATTTCAGAAAATGATGATATCAGTAAACATTCATAAGGACACATTGTTAAAATTAGAAGCACATTCATGGAGGAAGTAGCTTTTAATTTAAGCCTTAAAGGTATTGGCAGACATTATCTTTTGAATTAGAGGTAAATTCGAATTCAGATTTCAGTGCCAACAAAATATTTTTATAACAGATATTCTCCTAAAAGAAGTATTAGTTGTAAAGATGTTTGCTTATCAGCCTGGTGGCCACTAAGGTAGATCACATATTTTAACAGACTGAGAAAAATTGAACAAGCAATGGATATAAAACATTTAGTGAAAAACTTAACCTGGAAATCTGTTACCACAAGAAAACGATTCATTTTAATCATTTGTAAATTTATGATATATATCATTAGCTTAAGTTATTTTTTAACTTTAATGTGTCTGCTGTTGATGTATATCTACCCCTAGTAACCAAGACACTGGAATATGTCTTTAAGTGGAATATTCCCAGTGTTCTAACCACCTTGACTCCACTGGTGGGTGATGAGGTCATAAAGTTAGTAAAGGGGACATCATTAGGTATGCTCTCCTACAGCGACTTTGGTCTAAGGTCCTTTTCTTCTGTAGGTTATATGGTACAGTGTGATCTTTTCCTTCTGAAAGCAAAGGAACACACTTTCAAATGTATTTTTCACTGTGACTTCTTTCAAAAGAGCCTGTGTTGTTTTTCTTGGTACAGTGAATACTTCTTGAGAAGTAACTTGAGGTTTAGTTGAGTTTACTGTTTTTAACTGGTGATGCCTCCAAGAAAAAAGAAATCTCCAGAGAGGCCTGCATCTTCAAAATCCCTGGAAAGCTCTAGGCCCTATGTATATAATGCTAAGGAAAGAGCATCAGTTGGTTTTCCTAGTGTTATTCCAAATTCAACACGTCGTGTGACCTTTGCACCTACCTTGCCTTCTGTGAGAATGTCTCAGGAGATTGGAGACTCCAGAATCTCTCTGAAGACTCTTCTGAATGCTATCAAAACCATGGAGGGAAGACTAGAAGGCAAAATAGACATTCTTGCTTCAAGACCGTTACTGAGTGATGAGTCACCAAATTTTCTTAAACGAGAGTCGGTAAGTTAAGACCAAACTAAGTCTTAAGGAAATTTAATATCTAGACAAGAATGGAGGTAAGCAGCAACAGTCCAGAAAGATGATTCCTGAGGATAAGAGTAAGAAGAAAATTTCGTTCTCTACAGATGGGAAGAACTGATGATGGGTGATGCAGGCATGGATGGTAGATGAGCACTTGGCAGATATCAAACTTCAGTGATTAGAGAAATGCAAATAAAACCACAGTAATGTACTCCCATGTATCAATTAAAATGTCTGAATTTTATAAACCGTTCATAATAGGGATCAGTGATGACATAAGGCAACTGGGTCTCACTACTGAGGAGAATGTAAAATAGCACAACTACTTTGGAAGGTAGTTTGATAGTTTATTTAAAACTAATATATACTACCTCCATATGATCCAGCCAGTTCACTATTGAAGTATTTGCCAAAGATAATGAAAGCATATGTACCCAAAGACTTAGCCACAGTGTTCACAGCAGCTAGACTTATAAAAGCTTCAATCTGGGAACTACTCAAGTGAGCAACAGGTGAATAGATCAGTTAATTGTGATATATCAAGGTAGTAGAATATTAAGCAACAGAAGTGAGAACTGTGGACACTTGCACCAGATTGAATTAATCTCAGTGATAAAAAAAGTCACTTAGAAAGTGCATGCAGTATGCTTCCATTTGCATTAAATGCTAGAAAATGAAGACTATCACAAGACCAGTGATTGTTTTGGGTTTAGGTGTGCAAACAGGGAGCCCCTGAGCTGGGGGAACACTGGAAAGCAACATTAGGAAACTAGTGTTAATGGAAATATTCCCTGTCCTATGCTTTCAGGGGTCTTTATGTACTTCAAAACTTACCAAATTGCCCACTTTTAGGTCTGTGCCTCTGTTATCAGTTATATATAAGTAAAACTATCAAAAAATGAAATGCACCTGTTAAACTTCCACTGACATGTTTAACATTCTTGAAGGGGAAAAAGCATGACAGAGAATGAATGATCGTTGAAGGGTGGGATGGATTTAGAGGGAGTGTGAATAGGAAGAGGAGCACCTTTGTGAGGAATAGTTGTGTATCTTGACTATAATAGTGGTCATGTACTTGGGATCTAATTACATAGAACCATATATGCATGCCCCTCAGCCCATACCCAGCTATCCGAGCTCACACAGGATGATTGAACAGGGGAAAACTGAAATCTATAATGTAGTTCACACTGATGTATCTGGTTTTGATGTTGAACAACAATAATCAGATGTTATTAGAAGTAGGATGAAGGATATTGTACTATATTTTCTACAGTATATGAATATATATCTTCAAAATAAGTTTAATATTTTAATAAGTTGAAATGTATCTGAAATTACTGTGTAGCTCCGATTAAGAATGTCAGACTTAAAATTCTGATACCTCCAGTTACGATTTTTTTTCTCTTGGAGCATTTTATAGATATTTAGTAAGTATCCTTGCTTTTGTTAACTTGGGTGTTTTCCAAAGGAGACGTTCAACAATAATTTCTTGTCATTTTATCTTTCAGCTTCATGGATAGGCTTATTCTCCCTGTTCTTGCAGTTTCCTTTAAAGGGATAAGCTGCAAATAAAGATGGAATTGTTTATAGTAGTAGGTAAACATGCATTTAAACATTTCAGGCTTACCTTCTGGATGGCTGTGTCTTCTGCATTTGCCTTTTACATCGCTGTGTCTTTTTCACTGTTGTTTGTATTTTAGAAAATTTTTATTTTTTCTACTAAGGTGAAATCTATTCTTGAAAAAAATGAAGAGGAGCTGTGCCAAGCAGTGAAGTCTCGCGATGAGGCACTAAAAGAGAGTCAGAGGCTCAAGGGCAACCTGGAGGCTTTGGAGGACAGAGAAAGCAAGAAGGTGGGTGGCAGCCTGGCTCGGCATGTGCTGTGGACACGAAGCACTTCTCAGCTTTCAGGAGCCAGTCCTTCATTGCTTGTTTCAAGTAGTAGAGAATGGGCAGTCATCAAAGGAATATTTCTTTTTCTAGAAAAATGATAGTCTCAGAAAGTTTTTAAAATATTTCTCTTAAAGATACATTATATGTGTAACTCCAAGTGTGGAGTATTTTTTAGGCGTGGGGGGGTACTATCTTAAAATACTCAAAATATTTTTTAAAAGTTACAATTTTTTCTTAAAGTCACACCTGATCTTGATAGTAATGACATTCACAATTACGTTTTTGTTAAGCTAGTAGACACCTCTGTGATGCTTTCTTCTTGATGAATATGTGTGCTGTGGCCTTGACAGTGATTGGAAGAGAAAAGTTCACAGGATGTGGGGAGCTTTTTATCTGTTTTTAAAAAGGCACAGTAACTTCTGAAACAAAAATAAAATATCCCTTAATATTCCTCTTAGCATTTAACTGTGTCTGCTTACATGCTCTTTCCTAGGAGTCATGGAATGAAAAAATTGCAGAGTAATCTGAAAGGACCAAATATCTTTGTCTTGTTTCATTTCTTTAACAGGTAGGAAATTTCCAGCGACAATTGGCAGAGGCTAAAGAAGACAACTGCAAAGTTACCATCATGTTGGAGAATGTGCTGGCTTCTCACAGTAAGATGCAAGGTGCTCTGGAAAAAGTACAGATAGAGCTCGGGCGCAGGGACTCGGAGATTGCAGGCCTCAAGAAAGAAAGGTGCCTGGATTCATTTTCAGTTCTTTATGTTATGCTAGCAAGCAGTGTGGAAATGAAGGCACTTTATATCCCTTCCATTGGGACAGGCTGTTAAATCACTTTTCAAATAACAAGTTAGGGAAGACCTGGAGTTAGAAATGAACCTGATTTCAAATTCTCCAGTTGTGTCATAATGAGAAAGGGTATCTGAAATTCTTGTGCTTAGGACTGTTTAATCTTGATTGTTAATAAAATTGAAGTTAAATATATGCTTAAGTTAGAATTATTCATTTATTACTATCCTGTTTCAAGATCAGTAACAATTTTAGGTAAAATCACTGTGAGAACTACTGGTTATGTTTTATAAGTAAATTTCTTTGTTTCAAAAATTACATAAATTTTTATGCTTAAGTTAAAGAATAACCTAAATTTAATTTGAGCCGCTTAAATATATTGTGTGTCATGGTGCTGCAAATTGCCTCTGTGTTATGAGAGAACAATTGAATTTTGTTTCTTCATTATACTTCTCTTTATTTCTATGTTTTATAACAGTATAATCTATTAAGAGTCAAGAGAATGGGATTAAAAACTATTGGTTATCATTCATAATGACCTTTAGGGATCTCATTTATTTAGAAGCAAATTTCCAGAGCAAACATATACTTATATACATGTATTTTTTAAGCCAGTGATATGTAAAATTACCGACGTGTGACTTAATCAGAAACATGTACTGATAGCCTAATGTATCAAGCCAAATTTTACTGTTAATGGGACAAGTTAATTTCTAGCAGTTTTAGTTTCTTCACCTGAAGTTTAGGCTACTGATTGCTGTCCAGCAGTCTCAGACATGTGAAGCATCCATGGCTTATTGTATGTGATGCTATCTTAGCTTTTGGAAGAAGAGTCTCCTGCAACTCCCAAGGATTATCATTCCTAGGCGATTCTTTCCAACAATCATTCTGTTTTGCTTTCTGATTTTAGAGCTCTAAATCAACAACGGGTACAGAAACTCGAAGCCGAAGTGGATCAGTGGCAGGCTAGAATGCTTGTTGTGGATGCCCAGCATAGCAGTGAGGTAAAGGCTGGCTTTTCATGGATAAGAACATTGATACTTTTAGTTTCTTTAGGATATTAATGTTTTAGAAAAATGAAGTGAAATAATGGAGGCGTGTCTTTTTCATTCACATCTGGGTTTTAGATGGTGGCACATTAACAAATGACACATGAACTTAGGGTCTTAGATTAAGTCATTCAGTTCATTGGCAAGCTGAGATCATCTTCCTCATTCTCATACATTCTCTTTGTCCTCATTTTCATTTGTTCATGTGCAGGTGACTTCAGGAGTTAAAAGGCTTAGAAGGTAATTTATGATCTCAACCAGAAGTAGCTAAACCAATCCGTCTATGAATAAAGAGACACATTTACCTAAGTAAAGGCACAAAATGCATATGTATTTGTGTAGATACTTAGGCATATGTATGTGTACAATATGCACAGCTATTTCATATAAGTAAGCTTTGTTGAGAAGAATGTAAAAGGAAAATTGTCAATTTCATATCTCTGTGGCGTTGAGACCAAAAGATAATAGAAGGTTAAGAATGGAAATTTAAATAGTTGTTTTTTCTTAACTAGTTGTTTTTTCTGAAATTAAGATAAATCAAACTGGCTATGTTTTCCAAAGCTCTGTTGTGCATAATGGAACATGTCTCTCCTATTGCCGCCTTAAAGCCTGCTGTGCAATTTATAATAATTTCTTGTGTATATATTCTAGGCACCTGGAATCTTTGCTTGTGTTTCCAACTAATCATTGCTTCAGTGTTTTCAGTGGCATTTGATGATGTAGTATAAGGAGTACATATACAGGGATATGGAATTTTTGAAATCCATTACAGCGAATTAAAACTACTCCTCTCTTTCAGATGGAGCCACTACAGAAGGCTCTGGATACAGCTAGAGAAGACAATAGGAAACTGGCTATGAGCTTGGAGCAAGCTCTCCAGACAAATAATAACCTGCAAACAAAACTAGATCACATTCAAGAGAAATTGGAAAACAAAGAACTTGAGCGGCAGAATTTGGAAACCTTCAAGTAAGGGTAGTTTTATCATAGTGAAATAAATGAAGACCTTTTGAATGGGTAAATCTGATTCATTCATATAAATCAGTTAAATCCTTTTCTCCTTTTTTAAAATGGTACTTCCAGCAGAGCTAGGCTAGGCAATCATCAGAGCTGAATATCAGGAGATATTGGCAACTGGAGGATACTTATGATAGCTCTCCTTTTCCACTCTTCCATACACATCGTTAAGCTACTTTACATGAAGATTAATCAATTATATAAAAAATACTGGTTGCAAGGCAGATGCCCAGGTTTCTGCAAAGCTTGTGTGTCCTGCAAAAGCATGATTTGGGGGTGGGCATTTGGTGCAGCATTTCAGTTGCTCCTTGGGACACTTCATCTCTTGTCAGAGTGCTTGTTTCAAGTCCTGCTTTCCCAGCTTCCATTCCAGCTTCCTGGCCATGTATACCTTGGGTGGCAGCAGGTGATGGCTCCAGAACTTGGGTCCCTGCCTCCCACGTGGGAGACGTGAATTGAGTTCCAGGTTTTTGCCTCTTGCCTGTCCCAGTCCTGACTGGGCATTTGGAGAGTGAACCAACAGATGAAAGTTTTTCTGTCTTTGGCTATCTCAGAAGAATGAAAATCAATTTAAAAAACAAAATCCCTTTGATATGATCTGAACAAGGAGTGACAGCAGGATGGGTGAGAATAGTCTACCCAGGAACGGATGAATGCATGTGAGCAAATGTTGTCATGAAATATTTTCAGTTTCGGCTTGAGGTTAATTAGGTTAGTCAAGTTCAGGTCAAACCACTAAAATTTTGTCTCAGGCAGTATTGAAGTAAATATGACTTTGCTATTGATAGCAAAATCTATACTCAACAAAAATTTAATGTACATGTAATCTTTATTCCTTTAAGCTAGTGAATATCTTAGTAATAGAAAAAAGTATAAACTGGAATAGAGAAGGGGATTTTCACATATGACACCAGTGAATGTTTTCTATTTTGATGAAACGTCACTACCTTGAGAGTATTCACTGTTGGTTAAAATGACATCGTGTGTGTAGTGATTGCTAGCATGATTTAAAACCCTTTAATATCAGTTCAAGTAGGTATGGTTTAAATGATTCATAGTTCCAAGCCATGCAAATTCTGCAAGTTATTTAGGTTGATATAAAATGTAGTCAACTCCCACTACTGCTTAAAAATGTAGTGGCTTGGCATTTGCAGGAAAAAAATGATACCTTGTTGGAACATTGTTTCTGTATTTACCTTTATGCCACTACTTATAGTAGTTTGTTTTTTCATTAATTATGAATGAGGCTTCAAATGAGTTAAATGAGCCTCCTGAAGTTACTTGCAAAAATTGTACATCCAAGGTAGAATTATTTAGACTTAGAAATGTAGGCTCACATCTGAAAAGAGGTTGTAAGTCACAGTTCATCTCTGCACAAAGATGAGTGTTAAATGCTTAGGGTAAGGGTAACTGTCAGGGGAGAAGTATATAAAGGACAGAATCAACATCATAACTTGGGGATCTACCCCATTTCAGGGGAATGGAAAAGAGGCTAGAGAGGGAGCATTTAGAGAAGGAAAAAGTCAAGAGGATGCACTATATCAAAGGCAGAGTTAGTGAGTTGGGGGATGTTGCACCGTCAAAGAGAATGAGTTGTAAGAAAATGGTATTGGGGCTTTGCAACTAGTATTTACCAATCTTCCAGATGAATAATTTCTGTAGATATAAAATATTTAATTTCAAAGTAAATGACTGAAGAGGAAAGAGGCAGACAAGGTGGTTGGTTGGTAGAAAGGAAGAAATCAGGCAGCACCTCAAGGTTTAAAAAAAAAATTACTTTGCTGTCTTGTTTTCAGGTTGGGAGGAACCTGGACCATGATGAAAAAGTATGGGGAAAGAACCCAGTAGACCTGGGGAAAGTCAAAAGTGAGAGAACAGTAGAGGAAAGAAGATGGGTGACTACCCAGAGGATTCTTCAGGAACCAGTATTCAGTAGTCTGATATTTCCCTTAAAAGAAAATAAGAGTAGGATGAATTCTTAACATTTATGGCATAATACAGTACCCACAGTGGCAATATTGTGTTGTATACTTTAAAATATTGAAAGGATATATCTCATGTTAAGTGCTTCTGCCATAATGAAAAAAAGAATGGAACTTGAAATGATAGTTTATATGGAATATAAGCAGAAGTAGCAACTTGAGGTATAGAAGGAAGTTAATTCAAAGTTAGGATCTAATTTAAAAAGTCAGAATTTGAACTTTGGGGACAAAATGGTGATGCCAACAAGGATGATGATATAAGAACAATTAACACTATTTGTATAACATGTTTCAGGTAGTAAATTGAACATTCAGACACATTATCTTCAATAATAAGAACACTCTGATGGTAGATATTTGTTCCCATTTTACAGATAATGAAATAGGCATGGGAAGATATGTTGTCTCATACCCATAATGAGGATATCTTGTTAGTTCTGGGAGTTGTATCCAGATTGCAATAGGCTAAAGGTAAAACCCATACTTGCAGTCACTTTGCTGTAATAAGCATAGCAAATTTAAAGGGAATTTAGAAAGCTGTTCTTTCAAGGAAATTAAAGTGTAGTGCTGTAGAGATAATGATTTTGTTCCATCTATTATTGTCCATTTTTCAGATAGTGGCTATGACAAGAATGTAGGAATATATAATAAATAAATTTTTAAAACATAAGTGTATTTAGTGACTTCAAGATCTTTCATGTGTTTAGGCTATGCCTTTAGGACAGGTGTTGGTGAGTTTTAGAAGTGGTGTACCAAGGATGATCCACTTATGGGCCAGGGAGGGGAAGGAGGAAGGGACAGGAAGTTGTACCTGTTGGAGCCATCTGTGACCCCAAATGGACAAGCTGAGTTCAGTACTGAGGGAGCATTCAGAGACACATGGACAACCAAGGTGTGTAATCTTCCTTAAAGAGATTGTGAGGAGAAAAAAAGGGAGAAGGAAGATTGCGTGTCATAGTAGGCTTTTCCTAAGAATATGTGTGCATGGATTTCAGTTTTTTTGTGCCAAAGTAAACTTTTAAATTCTGTTTTCAACAAACTTCTTAAAGTATTCTTGTACTAGTAACTCAAAATAATTATACTTTAATAAGTCCATTGAGGTTTTAACAACTGTTTACTTATCAACACACAACATTTTGTCTCTTACTTCAAGGGATTCAGCTTCCTCAAAAGCTTAGGCTTGAAAAAAATGGAAATCAAAAAACCTCCTTATAAGAATAAAAAAAAAAACAAAACAACCAACCAACCAAAAAAACTTAGGCATGGTTCTTGAGCAAGGAACCCAAGTTAAGAACACTAATTTAATTGCTTCTCAGCCTTTTGGCTAAAATCAATGGAATAACACTAATAATATAAGGATTTAGCTTTTTAAGAAACACATTGATTTATTTTCATTTTGTTTGAAAGGCAGAGAGGAAAAGGTGTGTCTTTCATCCACTTGTTCACTCCCTAAATGTCTACAACAGTCGGGGTTGGAGGAGGGTGAAGCCTTGGAGCCAGGAAATCCATTCTGACCTGCACGGTTTGGAGGCTCTCACTTTAAGGATAAAGAAACAAAAAACATATATACATATATAAAAAAAAAAGATAAAGAAACAATAAGAAGCCTAAAGTTAAGGAGTGCATAGCTGACAGCAAAAAGAATGGCAAAAGAACCAAATACCTCTTTTTTTTTTTTAATATGATTGCTTCCTCTAATATTTTTCCTAGATCTAAGTTTTTACTGCTTGAGTTGGATCTCTTTATGGAAAAACGACTTTTTGCTATCTTTATGCTGCAGGTGAATGTCCTGCTTTTTTCTTATTAATGAGCTCTAGATCCATGGGGTTCATCTAATGATTAATCCACCACTTTGCAACTCATTTTTTCCACTCTTATGCAGTGGTTCACATTCCTCTCCAAATCTTCTTACCACTTAGGATGAGTTCTAAAGGTGATTATTAATGATCTTCTTCAAAACAGAGAACGGATGACTGAAGAATCCAAAGTGGAAGCAGAAATGCATGCTGAACGCATAGAAGCTCTAAGAAAGCAGTTTCAAACAGAGAGAGAAACTACAAAGAAGGCAGCACAACGGGAGGTTGCTGAGGTAAGAAGTCCAAAGGGACTGTGGAGGATGTTTACTGATGTTCTCTGACTCTTCGGATTCTCCTTTGATCAGCAGGTTGGGCAGTCTGTGCTGTTTGTAAAGCAGTACGCAGGACGCTTCTCATGTACAGTCCCTGTGCCCACAAGAAAGGCCTTGATGAGAGCTTTTGCATCCCCGAGAGATAATTGTGGGATAGAGGACTAAGGAGACTTCCATCTGACAGTCATCTGTCTCATCAATTCATTTAACGTCCGTTATCTGTCATTCTTTTTCTGAGAGGCATTCAAGGACATCAGCAGAAGACCAGGCTCTCATGTGTGCTAAATGACACTTGTTTTCTATAATCTCCACTATAGGCAAAACATCAGAAAACATTTTGTGGGTAGCTAAAATCTGTGTACAAATTGGAAAGAATTCAGAGTAAGGCAATGCTTACTAAAAGGTTTATTGGGCAATAGAAGGACAGTAATGAAAGCACAGGGTTGTGTGTTACATAGATGGCAGCGCCAGGCACCCATGTAAGCACATGGACAAAGCTTAGAAAGAAACAGGCAGTGTGAACAAATGAACAATGTTGTCTTGATCAGAGACATTGGAAAATGTCAGAAAGAGCAGTTGCATTGATGAGGCTGGCTGGTGAATGCCCTGCCTACTGACTGGTGGGAATGGCATGTCAGGTCCCAGAAGAACACAATTGGTTTCTGGGCAGAGGGTGATAACAGTGACCGCAGTGGGAAGCAGAGAAGAATGAAGAGAAACTGGTGGTATGGAGGCTCTTAAAAGTTCTCACAGTTAATTTGGATATTAGCTCATTAAAGTCAAGCAAAGTACTGGTATTGACAATAGAGAATTTTTAAATGGAAGAGGCATGTTAATATAAGTCGTGAAACAGACATTCATTGTTACATTGTGAACAAAGTAGAAGGAAATAAGTAATTCCAAGACAGGGTTGGGGTGACTGCTCTATTTTGCAAAATTTGTTGCTTTTAGTAATTTCAGTTAATAGATACCATTCACCAAATGAAACTTACATGATAGAAGATAATTCTGTGAGTTGTGAGGCACTGTATTAATATAAGTGTTATAAAAGTAAAATTCTGTGGGGAACTGAAAATGTACCTTAAACGTAAAAATGTACCTTTAGTCAAAGCATTGTTCAGAATACTTATAAATCTGAAAGCTATTTTGTAAGAACTATCAAAGATGAAGAATTTGAGGGGATACCCACAGAAGGGTGAGTGTTGAGTGACTAGTAAACAGCTTCCATGGGCTCTTGGAGTTGCCCGAGTTCCAGCCCTGCCTCTGGCTTTACTGTCTAAATATAAGTCATAACCTCTGAATCTGAATTTCCTTAATCATGAAACAGAAATCATCACTACTTTCCAGGTCTGTTGCAACATATTTGTAGGGAAATGATCACTGTGTCTAAACGTAAGTGTCAGAGCGGTGATTAGCAGTGTATTAATCTAACAGGTTAGCCGGGTGGTCATACAGATTGATGTAAAGTCGCGGTCTGGGAGCCAGTTCCTCTTGCAACTCTGGCATCACGTATCAGGGTCCCAGTTTAAGCCCTCTCTGCTAAGGTGCTTGGGAAAGAAGCAAGACACACAAATGCTAGGATCCTGCCACCAATGTAGGAGATCTGGAAGGAGTTCCAAAATGTCTGCTTTGTTAAATTGCTTAAGGACAGAGCCTGGTGCAATAGCCTAGTGGCTAAAGTCCTCGCCTTGCATGAACCAGGATCCAATATGGGCGCCAATTCTAATCCTGGCAGCCCCACTTCCTATCCAATTCCCTGCTTGTGACCTGGGAAAGCAGTTGAAGACGGCCCAAAGCCTTGGGACCCTGCAACCATAAAGGAGACCTGGAAGAAGCTCCTGACTTCAGGTGGGGAAGTGAATCAGCAGACGGAACCTCTTCCTCTCTGTCTCCTCTATGTATATCTCACCAATAAAAATAAATAAATCTTTTTAAAAATTGTTTAAGGACAAAAAGCAATAAAAAAATCTCAGTGATATTAAATAAGTAGCTGTCAAGCATTTAAATGGACTACAATGCAATTCATTTTTTCTTGTCTACACATGAGATTGCAAGTGACAGGAAAGGATTCAAGCATGGTAATAACTCCTGAGCAGTGACCGCGCCAGGCCCCACCCCCTCCTCTGTTATCTCTCTGTTGTGTATTCTATGAGGTAGGCCATCGTCATCTTCAAAACAGAACAGATGACTGAAGAATCCAAAGCAGAAGCAGAAAGGCATGCTGAACGTGGGAAAGCTGCAACCTGAGTTTAGGTCTGACTCCCAAGCTGTGCTCTTAAAAGTCAAATCACACACAGAGATACGGGTGTACACATGCATATGATCTTTATCCATTCTAAGATATTTTTTTTAGTGTTAAAAATTTGAAAATCACCTGATCTGTTCTGTGCATTGGTTTAATCCGACATTAATGCCTTACCGACTCTTTTTGAAAGAAATATCCAAAGAGAACAAACACAGGGAGAAAATGAAGCAAGCTTTTCTACCTGGAGGGTAAAAATAGTCCAATTTGTTTCCTTTGTGTTCCAAGCTGAAGAAAGCCCTTGATGAAGCCAACTTCAGATCCGTGGAAGTGTCTCGGACCAACCGGGAGCTGCGGCAGAAAATTACAGAACTAGAAAAAGTGCTAAACAGTAACAAGGAGAAAATAAAGAATCAGAAAGCCCAGATTAAGCTCTACTTGTCAGCTAAAGCGAATAATGTTCAGAACGTCGAGAGGATGAAGGTTGTATGAGAGACCCCCAGCCTCCCCTCACTCACTCACCCTGTGCAGGCCTGGCCAGCTGATGCTGAGGGAGGCAGGTAGCAGAACCTTGATGATGGTCACACCTGGACGGCAGGCAGACACCTCAGGGGTTGGTCTCTTTTTCGGTGGAGGGGCTGCTGTGTTAACGTCGGTGTTGACTGTAGTGGACTTTGCTCTTTGGGAATCGGGAGGGCCACGTGGGCAGAGAGCCCAGTAGGAACTGATACCTTCGGGTCTTACATGGGACTCTGTCATCCTATAGCCAAAAAAGAGCAAGTCATTTTTTTCCACTTATCATCTTTTAATATCATTTCCATATTTACTTTCAGCAAATAGAAACAGAATTGAGGCAAATGGAGCTCATTAAGGACCAATATCAGAAAAAAAACTTTGAGCAGGTAGATGATTTTCACAAAGTCTTGTTTTCACCGTTCGTGCAAAATCCTGAACTTGGCCAGCCTCAACAAATGCCTCCCTCTTTGTTCCAGTCATTGAGCATCCAGAGATTTGTTTCGGAAATGAGTAACCTGCAGAAGGAGATGCAGCTGTTGGCCAAGAGTCAGTACGATACCTCAGCACGGAATAAACAGCAAGAGCTGCGACTGGAGACAGAGAGGAAAATAAGACAGGAATTAGAGAATCGATGTCGGGTAAAAACATTTCTTAAGTTCCATCCCAAAGATTTTCAACAAATGGCATATACCAAAGCTCAGCATTAGAACACTGAGCTTTTCAAAAATTCTAACAGGTACAAGTTGTTCATCTTAACCAACTCCTTAGAATAACAGTACCTAGAAAGAACTCTGTAGCCCCGAATATCACAAATGTTCTTCATTGTCAGTTTAATAAAAGTTACACTCATTTCTATGTATACATGTGTGTATTTGGAAGTCAGAGTTAGAATGAGAGCGAGCTCACTCCCCAGATGGCACAACAGCCAGGGTTGATCCAGGCTGAAACCAGGAACCAAGATTTTCATCCGAGTCTCCCGTGTGAGTGAAGGGACCCAAACACATGCACGCTCTCTCACTTTTCCCAGGCCGTTAGCAGGGAGCTGCCTCAGAGGTAGAGCACCGTTAGTATCAACTGGCCCCCATTGAGAGGCCAGCAGTGCCAGTGGCAGCTATACCTACCATGCCACAACACAACACAACACAACACAACACAACACAACACAACACGTGGCACCCCGTGTTATATTCATTTTGATGAATAGCTAGAGCTTTCAAATACGATACCAGATCCTAAGGAAAACTGCTGGATTGGATTGCATAGCATTGTAACAACTTTGTACTCCTTGGTTCTGTCCTACAGCAAAATGCAGTTGCTCTTATGAAGACCCCTGGCTGTTCCCAGCCTGATAACATATCTGTGTTAAGAAACCTTAAGAGATCATTGGGTTCTATTGATAGGAGTTCTCTACAAGGAAAAATGTCCCTCAGGCTCTGAAGAAACATGTTCATCACTTTCACCCTATCAAAATCAAAGTATGGAATGATAGCTATAAGTTAAACTGAAAGTGGTGATTTTTATTTTGTATATTGATAATGTCTAAAGTTAGAAAGTACCTCATCCCACTTGCCTGATTCTCCATTTATTACAATAGGAAGCTTTGTGGTTCTTGATACTTTGGAAGTTCATAAAAGTCTTCCTATTGCATTTTCAGGAATTGGAAGATACTGTCAGACACCTGAGGAAATGTAAAGAGGCAACAGAGAATAAGCTGAAGGAAGCCAGTGTGGAATCGGAACAGGTGAGCTGCACTTGGAGGACACAAAGACACGGGTCGGTGGGAGGTCTTTCACTAACATGGTTGTCAGGAAAGCAACTGCAGACCCAGTAATTTTTAAGCATAATACCTGTGGTAAAGAATAAGTCATTTAAATTGAGACTGTGCTTCCTTGGGCTGGTGTGGTAGCATAGCAAGTTGATCCTCTTTTAGCAGCACTTGCATCCCGTATGGGTGCCTGTTTGAGTCGCTGCTGCCCACTAATGCACTTTAGAAAGCATTGGAGGATGACCCAAGTCCTTGGGCCCCTGTACCCACTGGGGAAACCCAGAAGAAACTCATGGTCCCAGCTTTGAACCACTCTGGCCACTATGACCATCTGATGAGTGAACCAGGGAGTGGAGGATATCTCTTCTCCTTTCCCTTTCTGTCTCTTACTCAAGTAAAATAAATAAATCTTTAAAAGAACAAAAAAAGATCCTGTGTCCTCATAACAGAATGTTAATTAAACCTGAAGTACACGTTCTTGCCTCAAGTATAAGAGAAAACCAGCACATGCATGTGGATTTTAATGAATTATTTTTGGCATGAACTGTTAGAAGTAGCAGCTTTTTGTTGAATCAATACTGAAGTGTGAAGTAGGATCTATTTAATTAATTTGAGGATATGCTTTCTCTGTTTTAAACTTAAACTGGTCTTATTTTAAGATCATCAGCCAATTAACTCCCTAAATGCTCATGATGGGCAGGAGCACAGTCTAGGTGTTCCACATGGATGGCAGGAATGCAGTAGTTGAACACTCACCACTGCCTCTCTGGGTCTGCATTAGCATGGACCTGGGAATCAATGTCACACAGGTCCAGTATGGGACATAGGTGTCATAACCATGAAGCTAGGTGCTGGCTCCCAAAATGGGCCTGTCAAAAAGAAAAGTTGATTTGAAAAATAAAATTAGAGATGCCTTCCATCCTCTATTTCACTCCCGAAATGACCAAACCAGAACCTACAGCTCTGTGCAGGTCTCTCACATGAGTACAGGGGTGCAAGCACATGAGCCATCTCCCACTGCTTTTCCAGGTGCATCAGGAGCGAGCTGGAGTGGAGAAGGGGCAGCCGGGGTAAGAATGGGTGCTCGAACTGAATGTCATCCTGACATGCAGCAGCTTAACCCCGCGCACCAACAATGCCACTCCCAAAATTAGCATTTAGGAATTTAAGTCATACATTTTGAGCTATAAAGAACCTTTGAGATCATTAGTCTATCACAGTCACCTTGTTTTCCAGATAAGAATACAGAAACTCATGGGACCAGTGTTATAAGAGCCCTGCAGGAAGCCTTGGTCAGAAATTAAAAACATGAGTCTGGCTATCAAATGCAAAGAGCTCTTCATGTCTGTGCTTTGCTTTCCAATACCAACATGTGCTGTGATTCCTACTTTTGTTGTGGTTCTCTTATTAGTTCCATTTGACCAAGACACATTAACCAGTGTCTGAAAAGCAGCAACACTGAACGTGTTAATCCTTTACTCAGAGGTTTTAGTGGGTTCTTCAGATAACTTATTTGAGTCTTTTACCATATAGGTAAAAAAATCTTTTGAACTAATTCACCAAGACATTTGTAACTTTCTTTGTAGTAGATTTTAATGATAGCATTCACATGTTCAGATAACAGCTAACCTGGAAGAAGCTCACCGCTGGTTTAAGTGCAGATTTGATGGCCTACAACTTGAGCTGACAAAGAACCGGCTACAAAGGCTTCCCCGGGAAGACAGGTGGCAGGAAGAGGTAAGGCTGCAACTTGACTGTCATAAACAATTTTAGATTTATTTCTTCTCAGATTTCCAGTTACAGAAGTTCTCTCGTCATCTAGCTACCATCTCCACTAATCCTTAAGTTTCTTTAACCTTAAATTTCTACTGCTAGGAGACCAGGGGACTGAATTTTGTTCTTAAAAATTCTTCCTCTACCAAACTGTCTTGATTAAAACCACTCATCTCAATGATTAAATGGCACTGTTAAGAGACAAACAGTTTCTAACCAGTGCAGTTAGTTTTGAACAGTTAGTGTAGTTGTGTTTTCTTTCCAACAGGACCAAGATAAAAGGCACAATAACATGCCCTTCCAGTCTGCTCTGCAACGATGGGAGACTAAACAGAATCTTAGGCTTATGCCCAAGAAGTATCATTCTGACATAGAGAGGAAGTGATGTCCTTGACAAAGGAGCTTCTTCATGTATTGCCACACCTCCACGATTTCACCAGCCCAACAACTGGGGCTGGCCTGTTTCTACAATCATAAGAACGTGACGTTTTTGATGTGGGCTAAAGATTTTGAGCCGTAGTTTATCCTTCTATGAACTCTTTTATATCAATACTGAACCACCCCATCTTTATTGTCCTTTTCCCTGTTTTCCACTCAATAAATTTATATTAATTTGTTGTATGATAGGAGATACTATTGCCTGCTACATCTTGTTTTTCAGTTATTTTGAAAATGAAATGCATGCATGAGTCTTCAGAAAGGTCATGGAAAGCCTGTATTGTGGAAAAATGTGTCTTTTCATGAGGATAAATTCCATTTTTCCATGAACTTTATTGAAATATTCTTCATGCATATCAAGTGCTGGGTAATAACTAGCAGAACTTTCTAATTTTTTTTTTACTTTCTAACCTTGAGAGGCAGAGATAAGAATAAGATACTCCCCTCCCCCCAACACCTCATAGGCTCACAGTGGAGCTGTACACTCAGCCAAGGTCTGTCTTGTAGATGGAAGCATCTAAATACTTAAGCCATTACTTGTTGCTTCCCAGATGCACCTTAACAGGAAGCTAGAATTGTAAGCAGACCCAAGGAACCCAAGTACCCAATATGAAGTGCAGGCTTTCCAACTGGAATCTTCACTTCTAACTCAAATTCTAACTTTGATAAAACTAGCATCTCTGTCCTTAAAAAAAATAAATAAAAATGTTTCAAAAGCAGAAACAGGGCTGCTGCCATGGTATAGTAAGTTAAACCTTTCCTATTAGTGCTGGTTCAAGTCCTGGATGGCTGCTCTGCTTCAGATCCTGCTCCTTGTTAACGTGCCTGGGAAGCAGCAAAAGATAGCCCAAATGCTTGGCCCTTGCACCCAATATAGGAGACCCAGAAGAAGCTCCAGGCTCCTGGCTTCAAACCAGCCCAGCTCTGGCCTACTGGGGCAAGAACCAGCAGATGAAAGATCTCTATCTATCTCTGTCTCCTCCTCTCTCCCTGTGAAATCTGCTTTTCAAATAAAAATAAGTAAATTTAAAAAAAGGCATTGGAAGGGAGTAGGATGGAAAAAAAGAGATCTTCCATCCTGTGGTTTACTCAACAAATGCCCAGAATAGCCCGGGCTGTGCCACACTGTGGCCAGGAGTCTCAAAGTAATTCCAGATCTCCCACATGGCTGGCAAGAACCCAGTGGTCAGGGTCTTCCCAGTGACTTTCTCCTGATGGTTTGGAGCTGCTAGTGCAGCATATAGTTTGAGACAGATAAGTGATCGGGTGGAGGTGCTTGGTTTATGAGTGTTGCTTCTGTCCTGTCTGATGTAGTCTTATCAAGTAAACATTAAGAAATTGAAAAGAATACCAGATAGAATCTTGGAGAAGTTGATGCGCCCTGCACTATGAATCTGAAAAACAGACAAAACCATGTTTGTGGCCTGCCTTGCAGAAGGTCTGAGATGTTCAAGCCTAGTCCCCCTTGAGGAGAACAGACTAGTATTGATCCCACGGAGGAGGGGATTGAGAAGGCATGGAAATCAAGGATTGGAAGAAGTTCAAGACCTTTCGTGGGGTGTAGAATAGTTGCTTGGGTAAGATGGTTGTGGCTCATTGATTGCAGAGGCTTATTGGAACGGGTCCATTGTCCTTTGACTTTCAGCAGTGAGGCCCTGTCATTGATGGGTGTCAAAGCATATACACTGGAGCAAGTTTCCTTCATCTGGTGTGTAAATGTAAAACAACTGTTTGTTCCCGTGACTTCAGAACCTCCTATTCCTGTGAGGGTAGGAAGATTTTAGGCTTTGTGCCCTCTGTTGGCCGTCATGGGTGGTGTTAACAAGATTCTCTCTGGAAGTGTTGAAGACTGAACAGCAGACTTAGGTGCAGTAGGTTAAGTCACTTCTTGCAATGCTGGCATCCAGTATAAAAACACTGGTTCAAATCCCAATTGCTCTGTTTTTCGATGTAGGTCTGGGAAAGCTGTGGAAGGTTGCCCAAGTACCTGGGCCCCTTCTGCCCATGTAAAGCAAGCCTGCATGAGCTCCTGGCTTCCACCTGGAGTGGTTGAGCCATTTGGTCAGTTATCTAGCAGATGGAAGATTTCTTTCCTGTTTCTCTGTCACTCTGGCTTTCAACTAAACAAAATAAAACTTAACAAGAAAATACAGCAGTAGACATCAGGCAACTATCTTGTTCAAGCTAGATGCAATATGAAGTGTCAGTGTTAATGCAGATACTTCACTAAATAGAAAAGCCTATCACCCACAACTACTTTGATGCTGTAGTTTGAATGGGTCCCCTCCAAACTTTGTTTTGAAACTTAATTCCTTTCTTAAGCGGTGGAACCTCAGGATGGGCATTGTGGCGCAGCAGGTAAAGCTGCTGCTTAGGCCGATGCATCCTTCAAGTCCTCGCAGTTCTGCCTTTGGTCCTATTTCCTGCTGGTGCATCCCGGGAGGCAGCAGGTGATGCCTAAGTGGTTGAGTCCCTGACACCACTGTGGAGGACCAAATTGAGCTCCAGACTCCTGGCTGGAGCCTGGCCCAACTATATCCCTTGCAGGCACTTGGGAAGTCAACCAGTGGGTGGAAGGAGTGTCCCCACCCCCTTTTCTCTGCCTTTCATAGACACAAAGTTAAATAAATTAACTTTAATAAAAAAAAAAAAAGAGGCCTGTGAGGAAGTTGAGTCATGAAGCAGTGCTTTCAGGAATGGATGAGTGCATTATGAGAGGAGTGGAGGGAGCTGGCTTCAGCACTTTGCCCTTGACCTGTGAGGATGGCATCCAGCCCCTCCAGAGGATGTGGCAAATATGTTGTCCTCTTGAAAGCAGGGAACATTGTTCTCACCAGACATGGAAGATGCCAAGACCTTAATCCTGTACTTAGCCTCTAGAAGTGGGAGAAATAAGTTTCTGCAAACCAGACCTAGTACATTTGGTTAAGAAATTTACCTGTTTACTTTGTCAGCCAAGGTGACAGAATACCTTTTTGATGATCACAAGTGGCCTAAGTGCTGTAAGATAGGACACTATTTTTAGGAGTCTTTTTTAAAATGCGATTTGTTCTTTTGGATCCTTTATAAAGAAATGGTTAATTGAAGTATTGGGGAAACAGTTTGACAGTAGCCCTCAGAATAATTAACTTTGGTTCTGGGTTGGCACAGGAAAGCCTGTGTCCTCAATTCCATATTGGAAAAAAGAGTGTAGTTACTACACAAAAGAGATGACCATGATAATGGATTGTAAATGTGTTGCCTCTGATTGTTGTCCTACCAGGCAAAGGGAATGTATATCCTCTTGATTGAGAACAAAGACATTTTCTTTACTTACAACTTGTCCCCAAAGGGCATCATTATTGATAAAGCTAAAGCATCATGCTTCTTCATTGGTTTTTGGTCTTGTTACACCAGCTTGCGAGGAGAGAATCAGACTTAGACTGATGATCATTTCTAATAAAGCTTATAATTATTAGTCAGAATAAAACCAGTAAAGAATATGGCCAAAGGAGTGACAGAGAAGAGTATGCAAAGGGCGGAGTGTGATGGAAGAATCTGGTGTGATGCTTGGGAGCTGAAGCCACCTGTTTAGTGCGGCCACCTTGTTCACGGGCTCTAGAGTTATTAATCAACTTCTGTAGATCACCTGCTTCTAAAAGTGCTCTAGCAAACATTGGCATCTCTTCCATTTCCCCAGGGGATTGAAAGTAAAAGGGGACATAAGGAGACAGATTAAAAGGAAAAACTTGTATAATTCAAACCATGAATAACTTTTTTGTGCTGGTTGCATAAATTGTCTTTGTGTAGACTTTCATTAGAATAGCCTGTTTGATGTGATGATTTGGTTATATATTTTGGTATTTTTAAGCATTTCTATAATAGATGTATAGTATCTGAATTTTGAGTCTATACTTCTCTTATAGCAGTGGTATGTCAAAAATACTGAGAATAATTTTGAGGCATCAAGTAGCTCATGTTTGTTGTTTCTTAAAAAAATGATTGGGCTGGGCATTCGGTACAGCAGTTGAGGTACTACTTGGGAGAACGTGCATCTTAGAATGCTGGTTAGCATCTCAGCTGCTCTGCAGCTTATCCAGTTTCCTCCTTGTGTACACTCCAGGAAACAGCAAATGACTTCAGTAAGTAGATCCCAGCCACACACGTGGAAGACCTGCACTGAGGTCTTAGCTCATGGTTTCAGCCTGACGTCCAGCCCTGGTTGTAGCAAAGGTGTAAGTTAACTATCTCCAACTCTCAAATAAAAAATGAAAATATATTAAAAAATTATTTGAGAGTGAAAGAGATGAATAGAGAGAAAGAGAACTCCATCTGCTGGTTCACTGCCATGAATGCCAAAGCCAGAAACTTGAACCATGAACCCAGTTACTTGGTCTAGCACCTCTGACCTGCAGTCTGTGTTAGCAGGAGGTTGCAGGCAGGAGCCACAGCCAGGAATCAAATGTAGGGACTCCAGCATGGAATGGGGTGTCCTAATTGCTAGACTAACTACCTGCCCCTGGTGTTCATTGAAATACATAGGAGATTAAGAAATGCCTTTGTTTTCGATAGTATTTCTAAGAAGTGAGTTGTTCCAAAAATATTGCAGCTACAAATGTGTCGATTGATTCTGCTTTCCATATTTTTTTAAGCCCCACAGGAGTTATTTGAACAGTTAGGCCTCTGGTGAAGAACTCATTTTTTTAGACACTTGATGACATTATGTAACCAACCTGACTGTCCTTTTCCATTGTTTATTTTCATTTTATTTGAAAAACAGATAGATAGATCTGCTATCTGCTGGTTTTCTCCCCAGATGTCCAGAGCTGCCAGAGCCAGGCCAAAGCCAGGAGCCTGCAACTTCCAGTGGGTCTCAGAGAGGCAGGAAGGGACTCAGGTTTCCAGTGTGTGCATTAGCAAGAAGTTGAATGGAAGGCAAAGCAGCTAGGACCAGGAAATGTATTATATCAATGACAAACACAAAAAGTTGTCAGAAGTGCCAGTCCCCAAGTCCTTTACATAAGATGGCATTGGGATCAGGTGCCAGATGGCTTCAGCACAGATAACATAATATCCTGTCTGACAGAGACAGTGCAATGCTGCAGCAAGATTTTATGGCCTGCCGGTGCACCAACACTTCACGGCTCATCAGAACCAGAGAGCTGGTATGAAACGGTCTCATGCCAACTGCCTTGGATG